GGTGAGGTGTTTGCTGCAGGGCTCCGTTTCAGAAGGCAGCCCTTTGAGGCCCCCAGAATCCAGTGAGAGAAATAAGCTAGAGATTTATTTGGTAGAGGAGTGGTCTCCGTCCAGGCTCTGCTTGACGTTCCGGTTCCTCTTGGACACTCCACAGTCCCCTTGGCTAGCTGGGCGCCTCCTGGGGCCTCCGGTGAGCCAGCTCAGTTGTAGACCTCACTCGTCCTCTCACAGTGCAGCCGACGGATGACCTGGGGTTCTGCTGGGAAATTCTGTGCAGGCTTCTCAAAGGAATAGTTACTGTCCCAGTGATGGGACTGCCTTCTGAGATGATCTTCCCCATAACCAAGTAAGGCTGCCTGGCAGATGGGAAGGACAGGAAATGGCCTGCACAGGCTGTATCCTGCTCTGGCCCCGGGCACACCTGCCATTCTTTCAACAAATACTCAACACCTAGCAAGCAGGCTTCCTCTTGGGACTGGGAGGAGAATGGAACTCCCCTTCTCTGGGGAAGAGGCCCTCTAAGAGAGGGGTCCTCAGGGAGACAAGGACGTTGCAGGCAGAGTGAGCAGTATATCAGAAAGCGTAAGGCAGCCCAGCGTGGGAGCCTGGGAGAGAGAAGAGGCGGCTCAAGTGCAGTCTCCAAAGTGAGGCCTGAAGTCCCTGGGAACATAGGAACTTGTAATGGCACAGGAATGAAGGTCTGTGGGCTGCAGAGGTCCCTTACCTGGTCACAGGTGTGCAAGGCGTACAACAGACCCACGAATCGCAAGGATGGATATTGACCGTGTTTTCCCACCATCGTTCCTGGATGTACTTGTGGAAGGAAAGACTGATCACCAGGACCCACAAAGATGGAAGAGGGTGTCGACCTGAAGCCCATCCATGACCACCCACATCCACGTCCTCCTCGTCTCCCTTTTGCTTCCTAGTTCCCTCACCTTGTCTTTCTTTGCTTCCACCAGCGAAATCTGAAAAGGCATGAGGGGTTGGATTTCAGTCATTTCACACACAGCCTCCAAGCTTAAGTAAGCCTTGGGGTTTCCCTTATATTAAGCAAAAAGCTCTTTGGAGTCCTCACTGTCATCCTTCTATGTTGACCACCCTCAGTGACATACCCAGGGTTCCCTGGCTTCTGGACCAAGTTCTCTTGATGCAGTGCTTGCATGAACCACTCCAGACCAGATGGATTCAGTGGGAGCAGCAGCAGCTGGGTGCCAGGCTCCTGAGCACCGGCAGTCTCAGGATACCTAATGTATATGGTGGTCCTGTTCCCACATCTGTCTCAAAGCCTAGGACAGGAGCCTGATTCGTCTTGGAGAGTGGCTCGTCATTTGAAAAAGGAAGAGGATTTGGCCTGGTCTGCTGTTGCAGTGGATTCGTTTCTGAGAGGAGGAGCGTGGTGGGGGCAAGAGGCATGGAGTCACCACACAGACCCCGGGAGTTGGGTGAAAGCAGGCCTGAGGCGAGCAGCCCACAGACTCCTTTATTTGAGTTAGTACAACAGCTTATATAGTCAAGACCAGCCAATCCGGTCAAGGGGCGGTCTATGCCCCAACCAATCACAGCCTGTTGCCAGTCAAGCTCTTGTCCTCAGGCAGTTTCTGAAACCATCAAATCATGGCCTGCCGTCAGTCAGGCTCTGTTGTCATGTGGTTTCCTCTGTTGTCATGTGGTTTCCGAAGCCATCCAATCACGGCCTGTTGCCAGGCAATTTCTGTTGTCAGCGGCCAACTTGACATGACCTTTTCACCTCAGCGGCCATATTGATATAACCTTTTCACCTCATTCCACCACAGTCTTCCTCATCTTCACTTCCTACCCTGCACCCACCTGAGGACCATGTCATGTTGGTTAATTCTGAAGCCAAAGCCAGAGCCCTGTAGTGACCTCGAGTTTCCCACCGCTGCACAGGTCAGACAACTGAACACGACACGACCCAGGGGGTGTCTTGGAGATGCATCATTCAGCTGCTGCGTCTCAACCTCCTGCTCTGGCTGGACTCTACGAAGTTCCTAAACGACTAGGAAGACTAAATGTAGTGGCTTAGCCCAGCTGCCTGTAGAATAAGGTTAGAGCCCAGTGCCATGAGAGAGAGAGGGAGAGAGAGAGATGGCCAAGCTATGGGGCTGGGGCATGGACTGGGCAGAGCCCAAGAATGTGCACTGACTAGCCACGATATCAGAGCTTCAGGGGACATGGAGTCTTCTCACTGCAGGGGCTCAATAGCCCTTTCGTAATGGCTATCAAACCGCTTGGGCTCGGCAGGCATGTGGAGGCAGACAGAGCACGGGCAGAGGCCAGGACAGCAACCACACTCGTCTCCGGAACAGTGGCAGCGTGCTGGGGATATTCTGTCCACGTCATGGAGACTGCTGAGGCTAGGTTTCCTGGCCGGGAGGGAGATTGTCAGCCACAACAAATCCCACAAGCCGAACCAGGCCCGGATTCCAACGCTGAGCCTTCATCTCGGGCCCCGACGTGGGTGCCCCGGTGGATAGTAGATCAGCTCTGGCATTTAGCCCTGGAATGAGGAGAGGCTGGAGCCACAGACACCCAGCACACCCTCCCTTGTGCCAGTGGCTTCCATCCCTCCTATCCCTCAACACCTCACCTCTGGCCTCCCTACTGAGCTACAGAATGCAAGGAAGGGAGAGGCGACATTTCTCGTGTCCCGTGGTCTCCTCGAGAAGAGAGGTGTCCAACAGGGCCTACGGCAGTAGGTATATCAGGTCCCTCATCACAGAGTCCGCACGGTGACCTCCTGCATGCAGGCTTGCAGGTAGGGCCCCCTGCATCACTTTGGCAATCAGCTCAGAGCCCAGAGGGCAAGGGAGGCTTGGAAGTCCATCAAGGGGACAGGAGGGCGAGGAGGGACAGGACATGTGAGCAGAAGGCAGAGAGGACCAAGGAGAGACCACGTGAAACATCTTGGGTCAGAGAGAATTTCTCATAGTGATGCAAGTGAAGAGTTGATATATTCAACCCTTAATATCTCCCAGAGGCCAGTGCTGTGGTGCAGCGGGTTAAAACCCCAGCCTATAATGTTGACATCCCATATGGGTGCTGGTTCAAGTCCTGGCTGCTCCACTTCTGATCCGGCTCTCTGCTGTGGCCTGGGTAAGCAGCAGCATATGGCTCAAGTCCTTGGGCCCCTGCACCTGCTTGGGAGACCCAGAGGAGGCTCCTGACCCCTGGCTTCAGATTGGCCCAGCTCCGGCTGTTCCAGCCATTTGGGGAGTGAACCTGTGTATGGAAGACCTTTCTCTGTCACTCTGTCTTTCAAAATAAATAAAAATAAATGTTAAAAAAAAAAAAAACCTCCCAGAGGTTGACCTTTTTTTTTTGAGAATTGTTACCAAATTGAATGTGCAAATTGTTTTTTAAATCATGTAGTTCAGGTATAGTTTTGTTGTTTAATAGGAATTTTCGGGGCCGGCGCTGTGACACAGTAGGTTAATCCTCCACCTGCGGTGCTGGCATCCCATATGGGTGCCAGTTCTAATCCCACTGCTCCTCTTCCAATCCAGCTCTCTGCTATGGCCTGGGAAAGCAGTGGAAGATGCCCAAGTCCTTGGGCCCCTGCACCCGTGTGAGAGACCAGGAAGAAGCTGCTGGCTCCTGGCTTCCAATCGGCACAGTTCTGGCCGTTGCAACCATTTGGGGAGTGAACCAATGGAAGGAAGACCTTTCTCTCTGTCTCTCTCTGTCTATAACTCTACCTCTCAAATAAATAATTTTTTTAAAAATAGGACTTTAAAAATTTTTTTAGTTATTTTATGTATTTGAAAGGCAAACACAGACACACACCCAGAGAGAGAAGAGGGGGAGAGAGAGAGAGAGAGTGTGTGCAATAGACAGATCTCTCGTCTTCTCATTCATTCCCTAGAGCCTGCAGCAGTTGGGACTGGGCTAGGCTGACGCCAGGAGCTGGAAACTCCACCAAGGTCTCCCATGTGGATGGCAGAGACCCCAGTACTTGATCATCATCTGCGGCCTCCCACCATATACATCAGCAGGAAGTTAGAATTGGGAGCAGAATTTCAACTCAAAGCCAGGCTCTCCAATATGGATGGGGGTATCCCAAGCAGAGTCTTAACTACTAAGCCAAATGTCTGCCAAAGGCATTTTAAAAAAAGATTTAATTTATTTATTTGAAAAGCAGAGTTACAGAGCGGCAGAGGCAGAGAGAGAGAAAGAGAGAGAGGTCTTCCATCCCACTGGTTCACTCCCAGATGGCCACAACGGCCAGAGCTGTGCCAATCTGAAGCCAGGAGCCAGGAGCTTCTTCCAGGTCTCCCACATGGGTGCAGAGGCCCATCTTCTTGGGGCCTTCTTCTGCTGCCCATCTTCTTGGGCCATCTTCTGCTGCTTTCCCAGGCCATAGCAGAGAGCTGGACAGGAAGTGGAGAAATCGGGACTCAAACCAGTGCCCATATGGGATGTCAGCACATGGGCTGTGGCATAGCAGGTAAGGCCGCCTGCCTGCAGTGCCAGCATCCCATATGGGCGCTTGTTTGAGTCCTGGCTGCTGCTCCACTTCCCATCGAGCTCTCTGCTATGGCCTGGAAAAGCAGTAGAAGATGGCCCAAGTCGTTGGGCCCCTGCACCCACGTGGGAGACCCGGAGGAAGCTCCTGGCTCCTGGCTTCGGATCCGCACAGCTCCGGCTGTTGTGGCCATCTGGGGAGTGAACCAGTGGATGGAAGACCTCTCTCTCTCGCTCTCGCTCTCTCTGCCTCTGTGTAACTCTGCCATTCAAATAAATAAATTTGTTAAAGAAAAAGAAAAAAATCACCATCCAGCGTGCGTGGAAGGAGAAGGCTTTCCTGTCTCATCTGAGAGGGAAAAGAGCTCCCCCTGGGTTATGCGTGGAGTTGGGTCTAAATTTACACCCCCTGCACGACCCAAGGAGTCCAGCAGAGACATTAAGGTAAAGATTGTCCTGAGACCTGGAGGTCAAGTCTGGCCCTTCCTTCCCATACACTGTGCTCAACAAAGAGAATGAGGCCAGGATTTTATTCAGTAGCAGGTAGATCTCCATACAGTTTCCTCGTGCCCTCAAAGGCTTCACAGTCCTCCTGCTGCTGCTGGTGCAATGCCAAGACTCGCCTTCATCCAGGCCCAGACGACGAGGGCCTGTGTAGACTCCGCCAGGCATCGTGTGTGGATGCTGAGTCTGCCTGCACACTCTCGCTTACGGGTGCCATTCGCTTCTCTCTACTATGGGTGGACCAAGTCTCCTTGGAGCTGTAAGTCTGATTATCATCCTCCCAGTAATGAGACCACTTTCTTTGCTGCTCTGGTCCAGATCCAGAGGGGGCAAGGGAGCAACCTGGGAGATGAGAGAGGGATATTTTTGTCCGTAAGCCGAATCCTGTCGTCACCCCGCCTCGCCACCTCATTCTACATCTGATGTGACAGGTTCCTTCACACATCTGGGAGAATGGAGCTCACCCTCTCCAGGGAAGATGGGCTCTCAGTGAGAGTCACTCCGGAGCCCATCACCTAGCTGTTCACTGTATTTGGGACGAGAGAGGATTCCCCCCAAGAGACAAGAGAAAGGAATTCCCGGCAGACCAAAGAGCCCATGAGAGGCATGAGGCAGCTGCTGTGTTTGGGGAACCCCGAGGAGCCCCCGCGAATGGGAGCTTGGGAGAGGGGAGCTGAGGGAGGGGTCAGATCATGCAGGGTCTTGAATGCCAGGCAGAGAAGTCAGGCTCTGCTGAAGGCACCGGGGAACGGAAGTTTTAAGGGAGGGAGGTACAAGAATCGTTTCTGCTCGGGCACAGCTATGCAAGGCGCGGAGCACAGCCGGGAGCCCGGGGGTAGACGTGACGCTGTGTATCCAGCCAGCTGCTCTGGTTGTACCTGGGAACGGGGAAGAGGGCTGCCGTGGGCCCTTGCCGCAGTACCCAGCCGCATCCTGTCCCTCCCCCACCCCGCACCTAGTCGTAGCTCACTTCCCCTCCACTAGGGAGCCAGACCATCTTCCAAAATCTACGAAAGCAGGGCAGGGACACCAGGGAACTAGCACAGGTCTCCCTGGAGCCCCTGCTGACTTCGCCTGCAATGACCTCACCGCACCCCCACCCTGAGACTGCGTGAGGACACATCTGTCACTTCGTCCCTCAGAGCATCTGAAATCCACACCAGATGGGGCCGCTCCAGCAGCTGTCCCCTAGAACCCTGGTCACTGGCATTGCGGGGACAATGAGCAGTCCTGTGGTTTGGGTCCTCAAGACCCTGGGCAGGAGTCACTTTAAACATCTCCCATGCCGTCCCAGGCTCGCTGGCTGAATTCATGCCCTGGAAACAGCCGGAGGCAGTTTAGCCCAGGTATCTGTCCTGGGTAGGGGAGACCTGCAGCCAGGGGGTCAGGGGCTGAGAGGCAAGACGGGTGGTGTACTAAGCCAGGGCAGAGGGTAGAGGCTTGGGCTGTAACGTGGGAGACGGACAAGACCTGAGGAGGCTAGGGGATGGGAGTGGGCCCAGTGCTGACCCCTGATCAGCTACCAGACCACAGGTTCAGAGATCGTATGCTCTTTTGTCCTTATCAGGTACCCCATAGTCTTCTTGTAGCAGCCATCAAACCAGTTCCATTCTCCGACTGGGTGGCAGCAGGAGGAGCAGTTGAAGGTCCCGGGAGGGCAGCCGCACTTCACTTTCCAACTTTGGACCAAGAGCAGTTGCAACGCCAGGGTACCAAGTCCATTTGTTTTTTCTGGAGTGTTGACTCAGGTGATAGATCCAGGTAAGGAGCCATCACCCACAAGATAAGCACCCAAAAGACCCAGAGGACAAAAAGCTGCCAGCGCTTCATGTGTGGCCCAGGTAGCAGAATGGTTTGTCTGGAAGGACAAGGGGCTGAACCACAGAGCGTGCTAGCCACCTCCTGTCCTGTTGGCCTCCTTGGCCCCACAGCCTTGCACTCCACACCTCTTCCCGGCCCCTCGGCTGCTGCTCCCTGTCCCTTTGCTCCCCTCCAAGGAGGGCCCTGGGTAAGCCTGTGATGGAAGATGCCAGAGATAGCCGGTGGGGGAGGGGTGTCCTGCATCCTCCCTGCAGGAAGGCGGGCTCGCGGTCTCTGGGGTCCTTGGTGTCATCCCAGTTGTATCACAGATGGCATCACAAAGCACATTGTGACCTCCCTCCTTGAGCCTGCCGGAAAAGCCCACCAGTCTGTCCTCCACTGAATGTAAGATTTATGAGGACGAGGACCAACCTCGCCCCACTTCTGTTCCTCTGCACCCCAAGCCTTAGCGTCATTACATGGATATTTATGGACTAACGAGCAGGGGCTCAGAGAGAACTTATTTATTTATTTATTTATTTATTTATTTATTTTGGACAGAGTGGACAGTGAGAGAGAGAAAGGTCTTCCTTTGCCGTTGGTTCACCCCCCCAATGGCCGTCATGGCCGGCGCATCGTGCTGATCCAAAGCCAGGAGCCAGGTGCCTCTCCTGCATGCGGGTACAGGGTCCAAGCACTTGGGCCATCCTCCACAGCACTCCCTGGCCACAGCAGAGAGCTGGCCTGGAAGAGGGGCAACCGGGACAGAATCTGGCGCCCTGACCGGGACTAGAACCCGGTGTGCCGGCGCTGCAGGTGGAGGATTAGCCCAGTGAGCCGCGGCGCCGGCCTGAGAGGGAGCTTTAGATATGGGTTCCCTTCTCTGGTCGCATACCTTCAGCTCAGTCCTCTCTTCTGTTCTACTGGGCTGTGACTTAGATCTGAGGCCCCGCACCTGAGCAAGCCTGAGAATGAACTCGCAGTTTTCCCATAAACTGATCCCTTCTCAGGACTTCCCTGTCTCATTCCTGGTCCCAGCATTCCCCAGTTACTAAAGCATAGTCTACATATTGGTTCTGATTCTTCCTTCTCCTCTGATACACACATCCATTTGTAAGTCCATTTGTTTCTCACATGGGATGCCAGTGTTATGGCAGCAGCTCAACCACTGTGCCACAACACCAGCCCTGATAATTATATTGTTTCCGGTCTACCCTGGAGCCGCCCTGGGAACTTAGGGTATAGTCCATCAAGATCCCTCTTGGAATCGAGATCTGTAGGAACCGTCTCTCTCCCTCTATTACCAAAGAATACATGGCTCCACCCTCTGTTTTGACAAGAATCATAAGGCAGGTACTCTGTGGTCACGGGGAGTTTGAGCTATCTTGATCTAAAAATACACCACGAAACCACTTACTTCCTATTTATTTGATTGCAATAAAAAGTCACTTCCTTCCAAAGCCCATGTGGCATCTTACAAAATCATAGCATCCGGTACATGTTACTTTCTGGTATATTTCTAGTATATTTGGTATTTATAATCTACAAATGTATTTATATGGATTATGATGTGGCTAAAAAAAAGAAATAGAAAAAGAAAACAAGCCAGTAGATCACAGACACACGAGGTCCAATCCCCATCTCCCGACCCCAGCCCCAGCACCACAAGGTTTCAGCTCTGTTCAACTCCTGCACTTTCAACACTGGAGATTCCTCACTTTCTGAGTCAGCTCTACATTTAACCGGGTACTTGCTATCCATCTGAAGTGTTTCACAGAAGATTCCAGCATTGTCTGCGACTTGCTGGAATTAGAACCTTCATCATTAATTTTTTCACTGGTCACTTTTTTTTTTTTTTTAAGATTTATTTGAAAGTCAGACTTACACAGTAAAGGAATGAGAGACAGAGAGGGAGAGAGGTCTTCCATCTGCTGGTTCACTCCACAACAGCCGGAGCTGCGCCAATCTGAAGCCAGGAGCCAGGAGCTTCCTCCAGATCTCCTACATGGGTGCAGGGGCCCAAGGACGTAGGCCATATTCCATTGCCCTCCCAGGCAATAGCAGAGAACTGGATCGGAAGTGGAGCATCCCATATAGGATGCCGGCAGTGCAGGTGGCGCTCTTAACCACTAAGCCGCAGCACCGGTCCCTGGTCACTATTTTATGATTTAAAAAAAAAAATTATCTAAATGGCCAGTGCCGCGGCTCACTAGGCTAATCCTCTGCCTGCGGCACTAGCACCCCGGGTTCTAGTCCTGGTCGGGGCACCGGATTCTGTCCCAGTTGCTCCTCTTCCAGTCCAGCTCTCTGCTGTGGCCCGGGAGTGCAGTGGAGGATGGCCCAAGTGCTTGGGCCCTGCCCCCAAAAGGGAGACCAGGAGAAGCACCTGGCTCCTGCCTTGGGATCAGCGCGATGCACCGGCTGCAGCGTGCCAGCCACAGCGGCCATTGGGGGGGTGAACCAATGGCAAAGGTAAACCTTTCTCTCTGTCTCTCTCTCTCACTGTCCACTCTGTCAAAAAAAATTATCTAAATGATGTCCTATAAATATTGAAGTTTTCTTTCTTGAATGCATTTGACCATGGTACAAGTTGAAAAATATTCAGCTGCCACTTGCAACACTGGCATCCCATATCGAAGCACTGGCTCAAGTCTTGGCTACTCCACTTCCAACCAGCTTCCTGCTAATGAGCCTGGGAAGACAGCAGAAGATGGCCCAAGTGCTTGGACCCCTGACACCCACGCAGGAGACCAGGAGGGAATTCCTGGTTCCTGGTTTCCAGCTGGCCCACCCCTGGCTTTTGTGGCCATTTGGGAAATGAACCAGCAGGTAGAAGATTTCTCTCTCTCCCTCTGCCTTTCAAATAAAATGAGAATGAACATTTTTAAAAACTTGCCTGATTTTCTTCTTAGCCCAGTGCTTCTCAAACTTGCTATGAGATGCAGGTGTGCTAACTGTGTCTTAACCATTGTGCCAAAAGCCTGTTTCTAAAGGATTATTTTTAATTCAAAAATGAAATCATCGGAAACATAGGATTTTGCATTTTTTAAATTTATTTATTGCTTTATTTGAAAGGTAGAGTTACAGAGAGCGAATCTTCCATCTGCTGGTTCACTCCCCAAATGGCTGCACTAGCTAGGGCTGGGCCAAGCTGAAGCCAGGAGCTTCTTCTGAGTCTCCCACGTGGGTGCAGGGATCCAAGCTCTTGGACCATCTTTCCTTGCTTTCCCAGGCACATTAACAGGGAGCTGGATTGGAAGTGGAGCAGCTGGGCCTTGAACCAGCACCCATATGGGATGCTGGTGCTGCAGGCAGGGTTTGACTGGCTGTGCCACACCACAGGCCCTCATCTTGTCTCTCACCCTTACAAATACATTCTGCAGGAGAAACTTCCCTGTCCTTCTTAAAGTGCACAGTATTCCGAGAACGGTTGTACCCTGATTTATTCAACAGTTCCCTTGTCAGGGGGCATTCAGTTTGGTTCCAAGCGTTTTGGTTTGGTTTGGTTTTTTTGCCATTGAACAATCTCATGCATACATCTTTATGATCTGGTATGCCTTAAAAAATAAATCTTTACACAGATGGGAGATTCAAAACTGTGGAGTGCAACAACCACCCCCGGCAACCTCAACTGAGATTTACTTCATTTCCTAAAGCAGGATTCACGAACCAAAGAGTTTGATAGCTGCCCCACAACGGAAAGTGCTCCCCCACGGCAGGTGCAGGGAGAACCGCGACCCACAGCTCTGGAGTGTGGGCCTGGAGGGGTGAGTCTGAAGAGCCGCTCGGGAGAAGCGGTGGGGCGCGAGTTTGAGTAAAATCAGCCACAAAGGCCCTGGTCGAGTCCCCTGAGGTGGGGCAGAATCGCCGAACCTCGGATCCTGCTGTTAACTGGCTGTACCGCCAGCAAGTTACTGGACTGCTCCAGGCGTTTGGCCTTCAACCAACAGAGGTTTTAAAACCCGCACCGCCTGTGTGGGGCGGGGATTCGCACACTGCACCTGCCGGAGTTTCGGGTTCACAGGTGGGCACCAGTCACCGGCGTTTCCAACCAGTGCCCCGGGGCTGAAGACGTGGCCGGCCCCGAGCACGGAAAACCAAGCTCCAGGGCGCACGAGAGCCTGCTTTGAAACGCCGGGCGCAGTTCCCGGCTCGGGGCAAGCGAACGGGGCCGTCACGGTGCACAGCCCGCGGCCACCACGGCGCCTTCGCCGTCCACTCCCGTCCCAACGGCACACGCGGGCGCACCTGCGGCCCCGAAAACGCGGCTGCTGGGCGGGACCAGACATGCGCATTGCTGTGCCCGCGTGAGGCGAGAGGGGGCGTGGCCCGACTCCGGACCGGAAGCGGGAGGCTGCAGGGGCGGGCCGGTGCTGTCCCCTTTCCGGCCGGTCCCCATGGAGGCGCTGGGGAAGCTGAAGCAGTTCGATGCCTATCCCAAGACTCTGGAGGACTTCCGGGTCAAGACCTGCGGGGGCGCCACGGGTAGGTGGCGGCGGGGTCGGGGTCGGGGTCGCGGGGAGGGGGGCTGCCCCAGAGCCCGGCGCGCGCGCCTGCACTCCGACCGGCCTGCTGGAGTCGGAGGGAGCGGAACAGAGGCCGCCTGACCCTCGCTCCCCGCCTTGCAGTGACCATTGTCAGTGGCCTTCTCATGCTATTACTGTTTCTGTCCGAGCTGCAGTATTACCTCACCACGGAGGTAAGGGGCGTGGCGTTCCAGGGCTGGTAGCGGGGGAGGAGGGGGAGCGTGCAGATCTCACTGAGGTAGCGCTGCCCCAGGTGCACCCGGAGCTCTACGTGGACAAGTCACGGGGAGACAAATTGAAGATCAACATCGACGTGCTTTTCCCGCACATGCCTTGTGCCTGTGAGTACCTCCGCAGGGGTGGAAGTTGCAAGCCCCAGGGTTCTCAGCTGGGCTGCCAGATTGGCATCGCCAGCCTTCGCTTCCGGCCTGGAGCCCAGGACCACCTCGTTCCCCTACAACAGTTCTGCCCCGAGACAGGCTCCCCCCCTCTTGCCCTCCGGGACCCAGAGCCCCTGGCCGCTGCAGTCTTAGCACCCTAGCCCGACTTCCCGCTTCCAGATCTGAGCATCGATGCCATGGATGTGGCTGGGGAGCAGCAGCTGGACGTGGAACACAACCTGTTCAAGAAACGACTGGACAAGGATGGCGTCCCCGTGAGCTCTGAGGCCGAGCGGCATGGTAACCAGGGAAGGGGGCCAGGTCTCAGGTCCCAGAGCTGGGTGTGGCCGCCCTTCACAGGTGGGCCATGCCGGGCTCAGTGACGTGTTAAGCAAGTAGTGCCTAGAGAGGTCAGCTGGCTTGCCTGGGGCTCCCCAGCTGTGAAGTCGGAATGCGTGGGAACCCAGGCTTCTTGCATCTGTACAGCCAGTAGGGTACTCTACCTGCTTATCGTCCTCAGAGGTTGCCAGGCTCTGCCCGTCACTGTTTGACTAGCTCAAGTTTGAGGATGGCTCTTGGGTGTGGCAGCCTTGGTAGAACTCCTGTAGTTGGAGCCCGACTCCCCCGCGTGTGTGTTTCTCCAGCAGTTACTGCTTCTCTGCTCTGGAGTGCAGGTCGTCCAAGGTTAGGCTAGGTTCTTGAGGCAGTTGCCTGGATTCAGATCTGCCTTTGTTGCTTGTGATCTGTGAGCCTCAGCTATAAGGTACCCGGCTCTTGGAATTCTGGATGAAATCAGTATAGACAGTCCCCATCTTATGATGGTTGGACTTTGGATTTTTTGACTTTTGGTGGGACAGAAGTTACCTGTATAACTGTTTTTCACTTTCAGTATAGCATTCAACACATAGGATATCTAATGCTTTATTTTTTTAAGATTTATTTTATTTATTTGACAGAGTTACAGAGAGAGGTTAGATACAGAGAGAGAGAGGTCTTCCATCTGCCAGTTCACTCCCCAAATGGCGGCTATAACTAGAGCTGAGCGGATCCGAAGCCAGGAGCCAAGTGCTTCTTCCAGGTCTCCCACGCAGATGTAGAGGCCCAAGGACTCAGGCCGTCCTCTACTGCTTTCCCAGGCCATGGCAGAGAGCTGGATTGGAAGTGGAGCAGCCAGGACTCAAACCAGCACCCATATGGGATGCTGGTGCTGCAGGCTGGGCTTTTAACCCTCTGTACCACTGCACTGGCCCCAAATACTTTATTATTTTTTTTTTAAAGATTTATTTTATTTATTTGAGAGGCAGAATTAGAGAGGTATAGACAGAGAGAGGTCTTCCATCTGCTGGTTCACTCCCCAGATGGCCGCAATGGCTGGAGCTGTGCTGATCTGAAGCCAGGAGCTTCTTCCGGGTCTCCCACGTGGGTACAGGGGCCCAAGGACTTGGGCCATCTTCTACTGCTTTGCCAAGCCATAGCAGAGAGCTGGATGGGAAGAGGAGCAGCCGGGACTAGAACTGGCGCCCATATGGGATGCCGGCGCTTCAGGCCAGGGCTTTAACCTGCTGCGCCACAGCACCGGCTCCTACTTTATTATTAAATAGGCTTTGTGTTGGGTGATTTTGCCCCACTGCAGGCTAATGGAAGTGGTTTCAGAGCACATTAAAGGTAGGCAAAGCTAAGCTATGATGTTCAGTAGGTTAGGCTTATCAAGAACATGTTCAACTTGTAGTGGGCACAGAGCACCATCCTAGACGAAGAAGCATCTATAACATGTGTAAAATACTGCGCAGCGTGGGTGCTCACCGGTAGCTTCCCTTCCTTCCCTAAGCAGTGCTCTGTGAACTCAGTTTCTTACCTGCTGGAGCTTCCACACCGCAGGGATTTCTTTAGTGGTGAGCTTTATCATTCATTCATTCAGAGTTACGCACTGAACACTAGAAGAACCAAGAGAGGGTGCTTTAGTATTGGACGTCGGGTATAAGAGGGCAGAGGCAGGGTTGATTCCCAAGGCTTCCAGCTTGAGCAAGTCAATGACTTGACATGGAGATGACCGGAGAGGAGGAGGAGAACTTTCCTGTGGGAGGGGTGGGGAACTATTAGACACCCGTTACTATGAATCAAGCTGTCCCAGAACTTAGTAGCTTAATACAGCAAGTGTTTATCCGTCTGTTTCCAGTTGTGGGCTGGGTGGTTCCAGCTTAGGGCCTCTCACAGACGGCAGTCATGCTGTTGCCCAGGGCTGCCGTCATCAGGAGGTGTGACCGGGGCTGCAGGGCTCACTCATACGGTGAGTGGCAGGACACCGTGCCTTGCCATGCGGGCCTCTCCATGGGGCTCCCTGAGGCCCCCCCCCATGGCAGCTGGCTTCCCCCACTTGGTCTTGCGTGCGAATGATCCAGGAGAGGACCAGGGAGGAGTGACAGCTCACTTGATGGCCTGGCCTCAGGAGCCGCACACCGTCGTCTCTGCCGTGTGTTAGTGGTTCAGAGGTCGGCATGTCATCGTGGAGGGGCTGCTTGAGGATGTGGATACTGGAGGGAGGGGACCAGTGGGGACACCCTGCAGCCCAGCTCCCACAGGGCAAGATCAGGATTGGAGGGGGCATGTTAAATTTGGGATGCCTGAGTTTACTGTGGTGATGCTAAGCAGGCAGTTAGGTATAACAGCCTAGAATTTAGACGAGGAGAGCTACAGAACTAAACGTAGGGCTCATCAGCATGGAGATGGCAGTTAAAGCATTGAACTACACAGGGACGCCTTGGGTGTGAAGGTCAGTAGAGGAGAGGTGGACGGTAGGTACCCTGGGTCCCTCCTGGAAATGAGGGTCCAGGAAGAAGGCTGACAGGGGTTAGCCATTGAGATAGAAAAGAGGCCAAGAAGTATTCCAAAGCCCAGGTGGAGAAAGAATTTTAAGAAGAGAGAATGATGGACTGGTGTTACAGTGTAGCGGGTAAAGCCACTGCCTATGACACCAGCATCGTATGGGTGCTGGTTTGTGTCCTGGCTGCTCCTTTCCAATCCAGCTTCCTCCCAATGGTCTGGGAAAATGGCTGCTGGTTCCCTCCCCAAATGGCAGCAGTGGCTGGGGCTGTGCCAGGTCAAAGCCAGGATCCCAGAGCTGCTTCCAGGTCCCCCATGTAGGTGCAGGGGCCCAAGCACTTGGGCCATCCTCCACTGTGTTTCCCAGACCATTAGCAGGGAGCTGGATTGGAAGTGGAGCAGCTGGGACATGCACTGGCACCTATTTGGGATGCCAGTGTCACAGGCAGTGGCTTAACCAGCCATGCCATGATGCCGTACCCTCCAGAATTTTGCTGTCAGGAGAACGGAGATGGGTGGGAACTAAGGAGAAAGGGGGCAGTTACTGGCTTTGGTGGTGAGGTCCGGTGAAGTTCTGTGCTGCTTTTTTCTTGGTGGAAACTGAAGGCTAGGATATTAGCTAAGAGTAAAGGAAGGGACAAAGGGTGTTGGAGGCCCACGGAGAGGGGAGAAGGTATAGTCACTTCAGAGAGCAGGGGAGGGGACTGATGAGGGCGATGCCGGGACTGCCGGGCAGCCTTGAGGGAGAGGCTAGAAGGGGGCTCAGAGAGTTGAATTTGACCGGGCTTGGGTTTTGCGTGGGGGCTAGGCTCGTACAACAAAGGGAGAGAGGAGCAAGGGAACCGTGGTGATACGCGGGAGGATCAGTACAACAGGGACCGTGGAACCTCAGACAGGAGGAGAGGACGTGGCGAGGTGACTGAGTGGTGTCAGAGTTGGTGGATGCAGGGGCCAGAAAGAATGGACTGAAAAATAGGGATAAAGTTAGCGAAGGCTCACATACCTGCTCTTGCGTTTTGGAAGGATTGCAGTTTTTGGCGATGCCAAGGTCTGCAACTAAGCACGGAAGTGGGTAGCTGAGGTGGACTGACAAAATATATTACTGGAGATAAAAGGCCAAAGTATTGAATATTAAGACCAAAGAATTCTGACAGGGTAGTTGGGGGGGCAGGGAACCGGGTAGGAGGCAGAGATGTGGGAGCAGCAGCCAGGCCAAGTGGTTGCGGGTGTGAAATTCGAGCTGAAAGCTGCCGCTCCGTGGGTCGCCTTGGGCAGAGTCACTTCTCACGTGTGGGCCTCAGCATCTTCTCAGTAGTGACCTCCACCCTCACAGATCGTCACAGGCGTGCAGTGGGATGCAGAGTGCAGCTGACCCAGCTGGCGTTCAGTGGTGTTGTTGTCTTACCATTAATTCTGTTAGAACAGTCACTCCAGGCCTGACTCGTAGACAGTGTCACTCTAAGTATTAGCTGTTACAACTTTGATCATCCCCAAGCTGCTGGCCCAGGGGCGGGGTCACGGAAGTCCCTCTGTTGTCCACAGCTGTGCTTTGCCCTCTCCCTAGAACTCGGCAAGGTCGAGGTGACGGTGTTCAACCCGGACTCCCTGGACCCTGACCGCTGTGAGAGCTGCTATGGTGCCGAGTCGGAAGACATCAAGTGAGCAGGCCTCAGGGGAAAGGGGAGTGTCCGTCAGCCTTGGCCTTGGGAGACTGTGCCAGGTTGGGGGGGGGGGGGTTAACTGCACAGGGATTTAGAGGGCCTGGGACGTGTTCTTCAGCCATGGAGCTGGTGCGGGTAACAGGCTGTGTCACCAGGGCCTGCCTAACAGCTGCAGGCCTAGGCTGAAGCTCAAGTGCTCCCTGCGTTTCAGCTTTGAGAAGTTTGAGAAGTAGCTCCAGTGGGGTCTGCCTGGTGTGACCCTGGGTCATCAGACTGAGCCAGGTCACTTCTCATAACTTCCTCTTTTTTTTTTTTTTTTTTTTTAAGATTTATTTGAAAGGCAGCATTACAGAGAGGTGGAGGGAGGGAGGGTAAGAAGGAGAAAGAGAGGGACAGAGGTCTTCTGTCTGCTGGTTAACTCCCCAAATGGCCACAACGGCTGGAGCTGGGCCAGTCTGAACCCAAGAGCCAGGAGCTTCCTCCAGGTCTCCCAAGCGGGTGCAGCGACCCAAGGACTTGGGCCATCTTCCACTGCTTTCCCAGGCCATAGCAGAGAGCTGGATTGGAAGTGGAGCAGCCGGGTCATGAACCGGCACCCAAATGGGATGCGGCACTTTAGGCGGCAGCTTTACCTGCTACACCACAGTGCTGGTGCTATAACTTCCTCTTAAGAGTCACAGAAGTGGCTGGCGCCGCGGCTCACTAGGCTAATCCTCAGCCTTGCGGCGCCAGCACACCGGGTTCTAGTCCCAGTCCGGGCGCCGGATTCTGTCCCGGTTGCCCCTCTTCCAGGCCAGCTCTCTGCTGTGGCCAGGGAGTGCAGTGGAGGATGGCCCAAGTGCTTGGGCCCTGCACCCCATGGGAGACCAGGATAAGTACCTGGCTCCTGCTATCGGATCAGCGTGGTGTGCTGGCCGCAGTGTGCCGGCTACGGTGGCTATTGGAGGGTGAACCAACGGCAAAGGAAGACCTTTCTCTCTGTCTCTCTCTCTGTCCACTCTGCCTGTCCATATATATATATATATATATATGTATAAAGAGTCACATAAGCATTAAATGTCTGTGCTATGTAAAAACACCGAGACAGCGGGCCCAGCCCAGGTTATCAAGCCCCCAATATATGGTAATTGATGTGGTGTTTCCTGAGCCCTGACCCTGAGCGGCTGATTCAGCAGCTGGGATAGGCCTTGGAAGTATTTTATTTATTGATTGATTTTTAAAAATTGATTGATTTGAAAGTCAGAGTTACAGAGATTGAAAGAGAGGGACAGACAGGGAGAGAGACTTTCCCTCCGCTGGTTCACTCCCCAGGTGGCCGCAACAGCCATGATTGGAAACCAGGAACCTGGAACTCCATTTAGGTTTCCTGTGTGAATGGCAGAAGCCCAAACACTTGGGCCATCTTCCCACTGCTTTTCCCAGGCCGTTAACAGGGAGCTGGATCGGAAGTAGAGCAGCCGGGGCATGAGCCAGCACTCGTATGGGATGCCAGCATCGCAGGTGACTGCTGTGCTGCAATGTCAACCCCAGAAATACTTTGTTTAAAAAGGTTTTCATTAGGGTGAGCATTTGGGTAACAGTTAAGACACCACGTGGGAGGGTGCAGCGCTATGGTATAGCAAGTTAAGCCTCTTCCTGCAGTGCTGGCATCCCAGATGGGCGACGGTTCATGTCCTGGTTGCTGCTCTTCCGATCCAGCTCTCTGCTAATGGCCTGGGAAGTCAGTGGGAGATGGCCCGAGTGCTTGGGCCCCTGCACCCACGTGGCAGACCTGGGAGAATTGCCTGGTTTCTGGCTTCAGATTGGTCCACCCCTGGCCGTTGCAGCCATTTGGGGAATAAACCAGTAGATGGAAGACCTCTCTCTCTCTCTCGTCTCTCTCTCTTGTCTCTCTCTCTCTCTCTCTCTCTCTCTGTTGTCTCTTCCCCTGTCAGTAACTCTTCCTCTCAAATAAAGAAATATTAAAAAAAAAAAAATGACACCACATGGAATTCTTGCATCCCAGGTCAGAATGTCTGGCTTTGTGTCCTCACTCTGCCCCTGATTCCAGCTTCCTGCTAAGCTGTGTGAGGCAGCAGGTGATAGCTGAAATAGTTGGTTCCCTGCCGCCCACGTGGGCGATCTGAATTGAGTTGCTGGCTCCTGGTTTTGGCCCATCCCAGCCCCAGCAGAGCAGGCATTTGCAGAGTGAACCAGCAGATGGCAGATCTCAGTCTTTCTCTCCTTTTGCCTTTCAAACAAATACTTTTTAAAAAATTTTTTATTAAAAATAAAATATTTTTATTGTGGTAGCATAGATGTGACATAAAATGTACCATGTTAAGAATTTCTTTTTTTTTTTTTTTAAAGATTTATTTATTTATTTGAAAGTCAGAGTTACACAGAGAGGGAGGTCTTCCATCCGATGGTTCACTCCCCAGTTGGCCGCAATGGCTAGAGCAGCACCCATCTGAAGCCAGGAGCTTCTTGCAGGTCTCCCACGCGGGTGCAGGGACCAAGGACTTGGGCCATCTTCTGCTATCCCAGGCCATAGCAGGGAGCTGGATCAGAAGTGGAGCAGCCGGGACTAGAACCGGCGCCCGTATGGGATGCTGGTGCTTTAGGCCAGGGTGTTAACCCTTGTGCCACAGTGCTGGCCCTAAGAATTTCTTATAATGTACGTAACATTTACCGCTCTAACCACCTGTGAGTGGCATTGCTACATTCAGTGTTATGCAGCTATCAGCACTTTCTCAGAACTTTCATCACTTCAAGTAGTAGGGGAATATATATGGTTTTTCTTTTAAATTTCTTCGGGAATTATGTATTTCTAAGAGTCTTCTTGCCCCTGAGGAAGCACAAGTGAACATTTGGCGGTCATGCATGAGACTGGCAGAGGCTTCATGTGCAGGCGGAATTCCTGGGCTCGCTTTCCCAAGGCGCCTGCACTGGTCTCATGCCTCCTGGGCACTCGGCCTCGCCCCGTCTGCTGCAGGTGCTGCAACACGTGTGAAGATGTGCGGGAGGCGTATCGCCGTCGAGGCTGGGCCTTCAAGAACCCAGACACAATTGAGCAGTGCCGGAGAGAGGGCTTCAGCCAGAAGATGCAGGAGCAGAAGAATGAAGGCTGCCAGGTGTACGGCTTCTTGGAAGTCAACAAGGTATCGGGAGGGGCTGAGGCAGGGTAGGACCAGCTGGGCTGAGCTGGGCCAGGACAGCTCCAGGGAGAGCCGAGGGCCTGATCAGGCCGCGAATGAGAGCGCTTATCCCTTACAGGTGGCTGGGAACTTCCACTTTGCCCCTGGGAAGAGCTTCCAGCAGTCCCATGTACACGGTGAGTGATCCTACTGCAGCCGGGGAGTTTAGACCGTGGACACCTTGGCGAGTGGGAGTGCCTCTCCCTGCTTCCTAGGTTTCTGTCTTGGCCCAGGACAGGCCTTTGTCTCAGGGCAGCTGTGGTTAAGAGCACAGGCTGAGGGGCAGACATCAGTGTCAAGCCTTACTGGCTGTTTGGGAAAGTTTCACCGTCGTTTCTCACCAGGTGTTTGTGCAAGTTAAAGAGGATAGCCCAGGGCTGGCTTGTGCTAGGCGCCTGTTTAAATGGGAGCCGCATTACCAGATGTCCTACGTGTGTGGCAGAGCTGGGTTGGGACACTATGTTTGAGAGTATTGAACCCACTCAGTTTCTTCCGTAAAATGGGGTTGGTGCACTCATACTTGTTTATCCACTCTATGCATTTGTTAGACTCAGCAGTCACCTCTGCCAGGTGCTGGCCTAGTGCTGAGAACATAGCAGTGAGCCAGGCTGTGCTCTCAGAACATTCTCGTATGGAAAGGGACAGTAACAAGGATGTGAAGTATACGGTCTGTCAGATGCTGTTAAGCAATGTGGGCCACAGCAAGGCAGGGGCTAGGAGGGGACAGTGACGTGTGCTGTTTCAATCAGGATGGTCAGGGAAAGACTCTGCTGGGGTGACATTTGAGCAGAGACCTGAAGGAAGCGAGGGGCCTGCCGTGGGTGTCTGGGCGAAGTTTCCATAGAGAACAGTGCGTCCCTAAGGCAAGAACGTGCTTGCCGAGTTCGAGCCACAGTGGGAAAATCAGGCGGCTTGAGCAGAGGAAGCAGAGGAGTGTGCTTAGAAGGGCAGTGAGGAGGGTGGCCAGGCCGGGCCCCACGGGGCCTGGGAAGGCATCTGGGGACCTGGCTTCCACGCTGTGTGACATGGGAGGCCGTGGCAGGGCTGGGAGGTCTGGTGGTCTGACCTCACTTTTAAAAGGGAAGCAGTGAAGCTGGCGCCGTGGCTCACTAGGCTAATCCTCCGCCTAGCGGCGCCGGCACACCCGGTTCTAGTCCCGGTCGGGGCGCCGGATTCTGTCCCGGTTGCCCCTCTTCCAGGCCAGCTCTCTGCTGTGGCCAGGGAGTGCAGTGGAGGATGGCCCAGGTGCTTGGGCCCTGCACCCCATGGGAGACCAGGAGAAGCACCTGGCTCCTGCCATCGGATCAGCGTGGTGCGCCGGCCGCAGCGCGCGGGCCGCGGCGGCCATTGGAGGGTGAACCAACGGCAAAGGAAGACCTTTCTCTCTCTGTCTCTCTCTCTCACTGTCCACTCTGTCAAAAAAAAAAGGGGGGGGGGGGGAAGCAGTGGACCACTCTGAGAAGCCCAGGGAGGGAAAGGTCAGGATCCGAGAGGCTGGTACAGGGGTCAGTCCAAGTGAGAGCAGCCGTGGAGATGGTGAGAGGAGCTGCCGACGGATGTGAGGGCTGAACGGAAGAGTTGTGTTCTGAGTAGTAAGAAGATGGAGTCGCTGTGTAGTGAGATGCGGGAGACTCCAAGGGGCAGGCTGGTGTACGGAGGCAGAGGGTGGGAAGCAGACACCCAGGTCAGGTCAGCATCGGATACTCTGGACTGGAGTTGGGGACAAAAGTGGTCTGGAGGCCAGCTCTCTGCTGTGGCCAGGGAGTGCAGTGGAGGATCGCCCAAGTGCTTGGACCCTGCACCCCATGGGAGACCAGGAGAAGCACCTGGCTCCTGCCATCAGATCAGCGTGGTGCGCCGGCCACAGCGCGCTGGTTGCGGCGGCCATTGGAGGGTGAACCAACGGCAAAGGAAGACCTTTCTCTCTGTCTCTCTCTCTCACTGTCCACTCTGCCTGTCAAAAAAAAAAAAAAAAAAAAAAAAAAAAAAAAGTGGTCTGGAGACAGAAATGTGGGAGCCAGGAGAATGTTTAAGCCAGGACTGGATGAATCCCCCTGGAGGTGGGGGCAGGTGGGAAGAAGGGAGCCCAGGGGCTGCGCATAGGCTTCGTCCCCGAGGGGGCCCAGAGCGTCAGGAGGAGGACGAGGACGCTGGAGAGGCAGGAGTGCGTGCCAGGGGACTGGTGTCCTGCCGCCTGCCACAGGTGCTTCTGCGGTGATGGCATGGTGAGCATTTGCGGGCTTGGCAGTGATAGGGACCACCGTAGAAGGGCTTCAGCAGGGGCTGGAGAGGAGTGGAGCGAGTATAGACGACTCTGCCAGGGAGTTTGCTCCTTAGGGAGGAGAGAGCGGGCCATCCCTGGAGGGAAATGTGGACCAAAGGGAGGCTTTTCTCAGGTGGGTGATGCCACAGAGTGGTAACTGCTGTCAGAATGATTGGCTAAAGAGCGCTGAGAGGGACCGCCACGGACTGAAGCCCTCGAGAAAGGGGAAGCAGGCAGAGCCCTGTGCCACAGACGCGTGGGAAGACCAGCCTTCGCAGCGGGAGGAAGCAGGCCTGCAGTACAGCAGATGGGGAACGGGGGTGGTGGGCGCACATCGCCGGTCTTCCGAGTGTGTGTTTTCTCTGTGACGTAAGATGCAGGGTCATCGCTGAGAGTGAGGAGGGAGGAAGGGGTTGGAGTGTGAGCGAGAAGACTGGATGCTGGTGGGAGAGTGCACGCTGGGGAATGGCGTGGGTTGCGGGCACCTTGAGGGCCTCCTGGAGTTGGTGACAGAGAGGGCAGGGGGAGCACTCGGCATGGCTCAATGGGGATGGGCTCAGAGTGGACTGATGGGAGTTACCGAGGTTACGGGGTACCAGGTACCTACTGAGACCAAGGGTGTTAAGGGGATTGTCAGGTGGTCCTGGTGCAGGCCGTGGTGGTGAGCGGGTAAAGGAGAGAGAGGATGTGGGGGCGGGGCAGGAAGCAGTGGGGCCTTGGTATAGTGCAGAGTCCTGTTAGGTTTGGAGGAAATGAGAAAGCTGGTGGTTGGAGCTCAGGGTGCTTGCAGTTGAACTTGCGAGGGGTGCACGTACTGTAAGGAAGGAGGGGCTGTCCCAGGTGCCTGTATGTTGGGAGGATTGTCAGGAGCCACTAAGAAGTGAGGGAGAACCTTCCAAGGATCTGTGTGTACCTCTAGGTGACTAAAACAAGTAGGGGTGGCTGGGTGGGGCTGCAGACCTGGTTTGTTTGTTTTTTTTTGTTCTTGTTATTTTTAGATTTATTTTATTTGAAAGAGTTACAGGCACCAGTGCTGTGGCATAGTGGGTAAAGCAGCCGCCTGCAGTGCCAGCATCCCATATGGGCGCCAGTTCTAGTCCCAGCCACTCCACTTCCAATCCAGCTCTCTGCTATGGCCTGGGAAAGCGGTAGAAGATGGCTCAAGTGCTTGGGCCCCTGCACCCACATAGGAGACCTGGAAGAAGTTCCTGGCTTTGGATTGGCGTAGCTCTGGCCATTGTGGCCAATTGGAGAGTGAACCAGTGGATGGAATACCTCTCTCTCTGGCTCTCCCCAGTTGGCCACAACAGCCAGAGCTGAGCTGATCAGGAGCCAGGAGCTTCTTCAGGATCTCCCACGTGGGTAGGGGGCCCAAGGACTTGGGCCATCTTCTGCTTTCCCAGGCCATAGCAGAGCTGGATTGGAAGTGGAGTGGCCGGGACTCGAACCAGTGTCCATATGGGATGCCAGCGCTGCAGGCCAGAGCTTTAACCCACTGCTCCACAGCACCAGCCCCAAGACCTGGGGGCTTTAAGGGGGTATGGGGACAGTGATCTGGAGGAGGCAGAGAAGATCAGGAAGGGTGCAGCTGTGGAATGGGAGTCGTCTCCCACCAGGGGTGCACGGAGTTGAGGTCCTTGAAGGGAGATCGGGCCATGCTTAAAGCATAGGGTGGAGATGTTCAGAGGCTGAAGATGGGGGTGTTGCTGTGGACTGAGTGACAAGGGCCCAGCAGAAGGGCTCAGGAGAGACAGCAGTCGGGGGCCATGCGGCAGTGAGGGGCCAGGGGGTCTATTGAAGGCAGGATGAGACGCCTGCGGGTCCAGCGGACAGTTGGGGCGGGGGCTGAGGCCCAGTTGGGAGGGGGCGCATGGGAGCCTCTGCAGGATCCTGGGAGCCCCCCTTCACTCTGGAGGTGGCTGAGGGGCAGGTGGTCTCGGTGGGATTGCAGGCAGATGAGCCATGTCAAGTTGTCAGCCAGGCCCGTGTTGGCAGCGGCACCTCTGCTTGTGTGCCTGGGGCTGTTGTCGGCCAGACTTCGGGCCGGGAGTGCTATGTGTTGGAAGGGTGTTCAGACACAAAGGTCGGGTTTGCCCACAGGCGGATCTGGCTGAATTAGGCCTGGCAGCTCGGGTCTCACATCCTTGTGGATCCAGGCAGGGAGGGAGGGAGGGGGCGAGTCTAATCTCTTACCTGGTGAATATCTCCAAGTGTCCTCCCATGTTAGGCCCTGCCTGTCTCCAAGGACACGGAGCCAAGTGATTGGCTCAAGGGCACACAGCTGGGAAAGCGGCTCTTGGGGCTCAGGTCTTCTTTCCAGGCCACCATAGTCTGTCTCCAAGCTCTCACACTTTTCTGGCCCAGGAAGGGCTCCCGTGAGGAGGGGACCGGGCAGAGGCGTGGTGTGAGGCCAGACCCTGTGGCTGGGCAGGATCCTTGCAGCTCTCTCCTGCCTCTCGCCTTGCTCCCCCGTTCCCCTTGTGAAACTGAATCTCTGTTCTCTCCCTCCCTCCTCTCTCCTTGCCTCCCCCATGCTGCAGTACACGCCGTGGAGAGTAAGTGGCCGGGGGCGGTTCGGATGGGTCTGTCCCTGGCGCGGCTGCCGCCGGACCATAAAGGCACCGGGCCGCGTTCCTCGCAGAGGGATTGGGGCTAGGAGGCAGGAAGAATGTGTTCTGGCGCAGTTGGCACAGCGTCCCCGTGGGCTTTCCTTTTGGGGTCAGGTGGGGGGCAGGGGAAGAGCTGGGGTGGCGGTCTCAGGCCCCACCTCTCTCTGGCGACAGTGATTTCCGTCAGCTTTAGTTAATGAGGCGGGTCTGGGTCCCTGTGTGTGTCCGGGAAGAACAGGACCTGCGTGCTTACGACCCCCACGAAGGGCAGGGCTCACCCGGACCCAAGGCAGGCCTTCTGGCTGTTCAGCGGGACCAGGGGGTCCCAGGCTGCAGGGGACTGGGAGAGTCACAGAAGAGCCAGGAAGGTCGCACCTTGGGGGGTGGGGGGTGGCGCGAGGACTCCAGGCCTGCTTCCCATGACGCCTTCTCCCTTTCCTCCTAGTCCATGACCTTCAGAGCTTCGGCCTCGACAACGTATGTACCGTGGGAGCCGTGGGGGTGGGGGTGCCTGTCGGGGACATCCTGGAGGAGGGAGCACATGTCCTGACAGGGGCCCAGTCTGGGGCTGAGAGTGACTTTGGATCAGAGATTTGAGCAGGCTGGGGGCAGGGCGGCATCAGAGGGGGGTGGCACCTAAGGACCAACAGGTCAGGTGAGGACAGGTGAGGCTGGAGGAGCTGGCAGGGAGGGGACCCCCGGACACAGAGGCCATGCTGAGGGGTCCGGTCGTTCCTCTTAGAGCAGTGGGAAGCTGTTGGCTGCCATCAGCAGGATTGTGCCACTGTCACATTGGCACTTGTGAAAAGGCCCCTCAGGTGGCTGCCTTGGCTGTAAATTGGAGCCGGGAGACCCGGGGTCCTCCAGCCTAGGCCTCTAGGAGTTGAGCCCTCCAGGCAAGGCTAGTTGCTGCCACACAGGTTCCGTGCCCGGTCTGTGCGTACACAACGTGTGGACGAAGCCAGTGCCACCAGCTGTGCAGCCCAGGAGCCTGCGGGCTGTGTCAGAGCTCCTAGGTGGGAATGGCAGGTCCTCCTCTCAGGACAATAGCTTCTTCCCAACAGGCCCTGCCCAGACAGGTCCGGGGCCCCTGTGTGCCAGGCTCAGGCAGAGCCCGCGCTGGGAGGGCGGGCACTGCGGGCTCAGGCTGTGCCGGTGCTTGCAGATCAACATGACCCACTACATCCAGCACCTGTCGTTCGGCGAGGACTACCCGGGCATTGTGAACCCCCTGGACCACACCAATGTCACAGCGCCGCAAGGTACCAGCCCGGGAGGTGGCCCCCGCCACGGAGGCCCTGCCTGGCACCCTCGCCCAGCGCTGTCTTCTCCCTGCAGCCTCCATGATGTTCCAGTATTTTGTGAAGGTCGTCCCCACTGTGTACATGAAGGTGGACGGAGAGGTGAGTGGGGGCCGCTCGATGGCGGACGCTCCGACTGGGCCTCGCGCTGGAGTGCCTTCCAGCCGGGAGCCAAGTGCGCCTGTGCTCCCGCGCGGTGCGCACAGCTGCGTCTCAGGCAGAGGTCTGGAGGCAGGCCTGGACAAGCGGGCTGTCCACTTGCAGAGTGCTTGCCTTTTCTGTTCATTTCCCCTACGCGCCCCTCCCCCCATCTGTCCCGTCGCTGCTCCCCCTGGCTCTGGGCATCTCTGGGCAGCATAGAGTGAGGCTCTGAGGGCTGCCGCCTTGTGGCTGCGGCCTTGGAGAGTTGCTTCCCATGCCTGGGCCCCCACCAAACGTGGCCAGGACGGCACAGCTGGGGGGGTCCAGGTGGTCCTCGGGTCTGCAGTGTTTGCTCCCAGCCTGGGCCCTCCCTCCACGGTGAGCACAGGACCAGGGGTGGGACCAGGGATCAGAGCGTAGGCACTGCCCAGCCTGCTCTCCCTCCCAGGTGCTCAGGACAAATCAGTTCTCTGTGACCAGACATGAGAAGGTCGCCAACGGGCTGCTGGGCGACCAGGGACTTCCCGGAGTCTTTGTACTGTACGAGCTCTCGCCCATGATGGTGAAGCTGACAGAGAAGCACAGGTGAGGGTGGCACACGGGTGTGGCCAGCGTCTGGGGGGAGGGGAGGGGATGCCCACTGAGCCCACCTGCTCCTCTGCCAGGTCGTTCACCCACTTCCTGACGGGCGTGTGCGCCATCATTGGGGGCATGTTCACAGGTAAGACGCCGCAGGGCAGGGCGGTGAGGGTAGGCCCAGGCACCCCAGGGTTTGGATGGGGGAGAAGTGACCCCTTGAGGGCCAAGGGAAAATAGTGGCCCAGCTGGGCCGCTGCCAGCCCTCGTCTCTCTCCCAGTGGCTGGACTTATTGATTCACTCATCTACCACTCGGCACGAGCCATCCAGAAGAAAATCGACCTAGGCAAGACGACGTAGTCACCCCTCCCCTCGGTCGGTCCTGCTCGCCTGTTGCTCTCCGGCCTGTGGTTGTACCCCCAGCCTCCTCCATCACACCCCTCACTTCCTCGGAGACTCAGTCCCACCCCAGGTTGATAAACCTATGGATTGTGATAGTACCTGCTGTTCTCTCTGCTTCTTGTTCTGGCTGGCATCTGGGACCGACCCCCTCCGCTCACTTGCCGAAGCATGACTGACAGGCTGGGGCCCGGGTAGCCTCTGGAGCCTCCTGTGGGCCTCCCCTGGCGACCAGACAGACGTCCGTCCCACAGCCCTGTCCTCGTCCCGCCTCTGCTGTGGGCTTCAGGCCTTTCAGGGTCAGCCTCAGGTCTCAGATGGACTTTCCAGGGGGAGCTTTCTGGAGCCACCATGGCCCCCAGGGCCAGCATCCTAAGTACAGGTTGGGGCTTGTCACCTCTTTAGGGACAGCTCAAGCTCAGGTTGCTCCCTGCCACCCTGGGCCACCTGAGCCTCCTGCTCGCTGACCCTGCCCTGTGCGAAGCCCCAGGCTGGCTCCCGGTAGAGAGTCCATGCAGGGCCTTGGAGTATCCTAGACAGAAGCAAAAAACCACAAGCAGTGGCCACCCTGGAGCAGAGCCAGCAGCAGACCCCTGCTCGGGACCTCCCATTAGAGCCCTCCCTGCTGGGGAAGAACCGAGGCCCAGAGGCCTGGCCGCTGGTGCGGGATCCAGGGACTGTAGCAGCTGCTCAGGTGGCCAGATCCTGCCGCAGGGAGTTTCCATGTAAGGCCACAAGGGAGCAGCAGTGGGGACAGAAGCCAAGGATAACAAAACCTCTGCAACCTGAGGTCCAGGCACAGGAGCGGAGTGGCCTTGGCTGTGTGATGTAATCTCCGAGGATCTCAGGATCCCGAACTTCTTCTGGGGTCCCCTGTCCACCCACAGCTCTGAGGGAGGCCCACAGCTAGCTTCGCCCCACCCTGGCCACGTGAGCCAGTGCAAGCCAGGCTCTGAGAGGAGCAGGCAGGCTCCCTTCCCGTGTGGCTGTGGCGGGGGGGAGGTTGCTGCTGGTCCTGCGGTTCCAAGGCCTGCAGGTGTCCCCGAGGGGACAGCAGGGCTGCACCAGAGGCAGCATTGCTGGTGTGGGTGGCACTGTCTGAACCCTGAAGCCAGCGAGCCAGGCTCTGGGACTTGCAGGAGCACAAGCCAATAAATTCCCTTTTTGCTGCAGCCAACTTGGGTTGAGATTTGTTGTCACTTGGAACCCAAAGTGTCCTAACAGGTGCGGCCACTCAGGTTGGTGAGGGACAAGTTGCAGTTCACAGTGCTTAGCTGTCAGGAACAGCAGACGCCACCGGCAGGTGAGGTGAGAGGGACCCCCCACGGCAGGTGCAGGGTGCACTGCCCCTGCAGGTCCCCCAGGAACAGTGGGAACATCTGGGACCCGTACCACCTGCAGGAGGCGGAGTGTCGGGCAAGCACCTGAGGTTTATTCAGAGAGCCCTGCTCTGGGCGGGCACGGTGGGCGGCCATGCAGCTCAGTTAGCGTCGGAGGCCCTGTGGAGGGGGCTGAAGATGGCCTGGCTGATCTGGCCGGGCATGGTGTAGAAGACGAGGAGGAGGAAGACGGTGACCAGCGCCAGCAGCAGCAGCAGCACCAGGACGCGCCAGTAGCGGCGCCAGATGAAGAAGGCAAACGTCTTGAGCGGGTTCACAAACCAGTTGAAGGAGGTTTTGGGGCGGCTGTTGGGGAGGGAAGGGGTGTGAGGTGAAGAGGAAGCTCCCGCTCAGGCCCTGGCCGCCCGGCCGGCCGCCCCGCTGCACTCACTTGGGCTTCTCCAGGGGCTCCGGCTCCTTCCGCCCCTTCCCCACTGGCCGCTTCTCCGCCTCCTCCACCGTCAGCAGCTCAAACTCTGCCTCCACCTTGCCCTAGGGAAAGACCCTCCTGCGTCGCTGGGCACAGAGGCCCTGCTCCGGGGCGCTGGCCCGGCCCCGGCCCCAGCCCTCCTGGCTCCCTGGCGCGGCAGCACCCACTGTGAGGATGTAGACGTTGCCTCCGGTGTCCGTGAACTGCAGGTCTTCGGGCCGGCCCTTCCTCCTCTTTCGCTTCCTTTTCTTGCCAGCCTGAGCCTCCCGCTCCTCCCGCTCCACGTCCTCGGCCTCCCGCAGCTTCACCACGGGCCACCAGCCCCGCAGCCGGCGGCAGCGGAACAGGTTGCACCTGGGCACTGCCCCGTCGCGAGCCAGCCTGACTGAGCAGTGCTCCGCGTCCCGGGCCCCCCGCACCATGTCCGGAAGCTGCAGCTCCAGGGACCCTGCAGGGAGAGCTCGCTGGGTTAGGCAGGGGCGGGGAGGCAGCACACCAGCTCGTAAGCTAGAGCCTGCGAAGTCAGCCTGTGCCACGCAGGCCACAGCGCAGCCTGTAGCAGGTTGTCACGTCCCGGTGGGAGAGGGCCGAGGCCCGGGAACAGGTTCACAGAGCAAGTGGCCATGGGGTCAGGGTGCAGGGTGACGAGCTCTCGTCACAAAGGTGCACTGCGGCAGGGACTCTGGGTGGAAATCAGGGCGACTGTGGTCAGGGCTCAGTAAACCCGGCAGTTAGGGCAGGCCTGGTGCTGAAATCCCAGGATGCCAGCCACGCGCTAGAGTGGGGAACCAAGGACGAGGGCGGTGCAGGCCGGGCAGGGCAGGGCAGGTGTGAGGTTGGGGAGGCTGAGCCGTACCCAGGAAGTCATTGGCGGAGATGCGGTCGTAGTCCCAGACCTGCAAGACCAGCAGGGCCGGCTGCCGGAACTCGGCCTCCTCCAGGGCGAAGGGTCCGGGCCGGCGCCGGACGCTCACCTCCCGCTCGGTGGGCAGGTAGTTGAAGCGGAACACGAAGCGCCAGTTGAAGTTCCCCTCCCCAGTCAGGGAGTTGAAGTGGACGTCGGTCTCCTGCTTGTCATGCTCCAGCCCCTTCACCCAGCTGTGGCCCGCAGGGGACAGGCCAGGGCGGGTGGGCATCAGAGCTGGAGCACGTCTGGTGCCCAGCTCCTCACCCAGCTCTAGGCACCACAGAAGGCACGGGGGACAGGCCTGAGCCTGTGTGCCGCACCCCTGGGGCCACAGCCGTCGCGGCTTCCCCACAGCCCTACCTTTTCACGTAGATGTCGCTCGACATCTCCCCGGTGAGCGGATTCACGTCGTCCAGAACCACGTCTTCCGTGTTCCAGATGACAACTCGGAGCTCGTAGCTGGGGGTGGGTTAGAGTGGATCAGACTCTGGGAGGGGCCCTGGGAGAGGCTGCCAGCGGCAGGGAAGCCAGGGACACTGATGTTCACTGGGCAGCCGGTGACCAGGACGCCGTGGTCCCAGGAAGGTATCGCTGGCCTCCCCAGCCACGGAGCGTGGCGCCAGCAGTAGTCTGCTGGATCCACAGGGTTTGGAATTGAGACCCAGAGCTCGAGCTAAATGGTTCATTGACTTTGAACCCCAGTGACGTGACGTGACGTGACGTGACGTGCAAGCTGAGGTTCTGGGGTGCAGGACAGTGGGAGACTGGACATGTCTCAGGCACAGAGGGAGGGGCTGTGAAGTTCTGGGTCCTGCCCTACGGGGCCCCGCCCCTGGCTGGCATGGGGCAGCTGGGAGTGCTCATTTCCTCCGACCCTGCATCAACTTCCGCCTACTTTTTTGCTCCTAACCCCCACTCCCAGGCCAGTCAGTCTGATTCTGGTGGGGCAGGTGCTACCTGGCCCCGGGACAGTGGGGACATCACCTAGGACTGGCCAGTCCAGGGGACTGCAGCCACTCCTCCCCCCCCCAACCACAGGGGCACAGGGATCGCTCAGACGCCCGCAGGTCTGAGTCGGCCCTGAGGCTTCTGCTCGAGTGGACGGGAGCAATCGTCTGAGACGATGTGGACCAGGCACTGTTAGAAGCCAGCGTGTCCCCATACTGCGAAGGCTCCCCGGGAGTGACACGCGGGCCAGCAGGGCCCAGAGGCAGCGTGTGGGCATCCGGCCTTGTTGGAAGTGGCTCCCCCGCTGCGGTGCGCCCCTCTGAACAGCTCACGTTGGAGGGGGTTTACTCAAAGGTGCTAGGACTCACGTCACAGGGGACAGACACCCGGCTCGGTGGCGGATGCCACAGGGGAACTAAATGGGTCATTGACTAAGAAGCCGCAGCCCCCGGGGGGTGCTGGGCCTACAGGCGGGGGCCCTCTCACCTGATGGGCTGCCGAGGCTTGATGTCAACTGGCGGTGGGGCAGGCACGTCTCGAGGAAAGATGTCAACCCACATGTGAAGGGATCCCTGGGGGCACAGGGCCAGCCCAGTCTCACCAGGGTCCCCACCTGCCCTGACAGCCCTGTGGGAGAGGAGCTGAGGCCATGGGGGCAGGCCCTGGGGGATGAGGGTGAAGGAGCAGTTTGGAGTGGGGTCCCAGCGTCAGATTGAGGGTTCAGGGACAAGGTCCCGGCAATGGAAGGTTGTCAGATTGGATCCCTTATGACTGGACCCAGATCTGAGCCTTAGTGGCCCGGGGGGTGGGGGGGCCTTCCTGCAGGATAGGAGTCAGGGGTGGCTTCAGGGGTCCAGGATGCAGGTCCCAGACTGGCACGGGGAAGCCGGGCACCAGTGACAGGAGCCGGGTGCCGGTCTGGGGGAAAGGGCACCCGGGATTCTGAGAGCCCCGGGTTCCGCCCTGGGTACGGACCCTCCTTACCTGCAGCAGCCCTGGGCTGCGGGGATGGTAGAGGGGCCGCGTTTCCACGTGCTCGGGGACCAGCGGGAGCCCAAGCTCCGGCATCTCCTGCCAGCGCCGCAGCACCAGCAATGCCTGGGCCTCCTCCAGGGCGCTGCTGGGCCCGCCACCTGAAACAGGAAGTGTGCGAGCCGAGGTCCGGCACAGCTGCCACCTCTCCTGCTAGGCGGAGGCAGCCTGCGTGGGCGGGCAAGGTCCCGGAGCCGGCGCGCACACGCGGGGGCTGTGGCAGTAGCCGCTTCCCAGGGGGCATGGGCCTTTGCATTGTCCCAGTGCTGCCAGCAGAGCGCAAGGCCGGGTGTGCAGGGTGCTCCACGCAGCGACCCTGGGTCCAGCGGCGTCACTGGGGCTCTCACGTTCCCCACCAGTTTCTCCACCACCCAAGAACCTAGTCACTGGAGGAAGTGGGCTCCTAGGGGCCACTCTCCCTCCAGCCCACCCAGCAGGGAGAGGCTGGTACCTTGGGGCAGGGTCTCGGGTGGCGTCAGGAAGACTTTGCTGCCCACCTTGACGGCCCCGGCTCGGTACTCGGGGGCAGGGAGGCCGCAGCGCTGGCATAGCCCCGCCAGGATCTGCGCCGGGCGGAAGGCGTCCCGCCATGCGTTGTACCCCTCCCTGCAGGCAGGAAGCAGGTGGCTCAGCTGGGAATGCTCACAGCGGGGCCCGGGGGTCCTAGGGGAGGCGGGCTAGTCCCCAGCCAGGGTAAGGAGGGACTTCAGAGATGCGTGCCGCGTGCTTCTAGGAGATGTCTCAAGAGGTCAGGTGACTCACTAGCGTCTCGGGCAGCCCCAGCTGCCAAGCCCGCCTGGTGGCCACTGAGCTGTCACGTCTGGCCTGGAGAGGAGCCCCCTTCTAAGAAATCACGGGTTCTGCAGATGCACGGCTGGCCGGAGGCCTGCCACCCAGCCCTGCCCGACTTACACATCGTACTGGGAGGCCAGCCCGCAGTTGGCCCGGTGGTGGCTGTAGAAGCGGTTTTCCACGTCGATATGGGTCTCTCCAATGAGGTCGTCAGAACCCACGAGGTCATGGTCAAACACGGCCACGGTCAGCTCGGGCTCAGCCGGGAGAGAGATACTAAGCTCCAGGACCCTGGCAGGGAGGGGGCGTAGCTGAGGACACCTCCCTGCCCCAGGAGGCAGGCTGGGGTGAGGGGAGGGGTCGGCAGCCTCTTGTCCATCCCCCACCCCCACCCCGGCCAGGCCAGCTGCCTAGGTGACAGCTCTTGGGCCACAGGGCAGGATGGTCAAGTTGCTCCCCCACTCCCAAGCCCCAGGGCCCAGCCTCACTCTCCAAAGATGGGGTTGAGCTGCTTGGGGATGTAGCGCTCCTTGGTGTCCTGCCGCTCCTGGCCAGCACTCACCACCACGTAGGGGTCCGCTTTGCCATTGGGGTCCGCGGGAGCCAGGTTGGTAGCCTAGGACAGGATGGAGTTGAATTGGGAGCAGCATCATTGTCACAGCCCAAGGTTACCCTCGCTGGACTTGACCTCACGTTAAGTGCAGGCCGGCAGTCACCAGGGGGTGGGCCCGCTGAGAGGTGGGCAAATGACTTATTTTCCATTCAGTTCTGGAGTCCTTAAGTCACAAATAGGTGTAAAGACAGACAGTGAAACCAGTGCCAAAGCACGCTCCAAGCCTCTTCCTCTGGCTTGCCCGCTCCGTGCCCCAAGCACGGAGTGTGTGCCATGCACACAGCCTGGAACCCGGTACCCTGCCTTGCCTGGTTGCTCCCACAGTGCACAGGAAGGAGCCCTGCCCGGCTCTGCCCTGGCTCCCTCCACTGGGTGCAGGTCTGGTGCTTGGAGGTGCGGCTCTCCTCCTGGGAACTGGAGCAGGCACCTAGGCGGCGGTCAGCAGCTCCGTGAGCCTCCCCATCACGAATGAAGCAAACCCCAGGTATTTTAGGGCACTTCTGGCCTTTGCCCCTCTGCAACTCCTTACTCTCTCGGAAGCTCAGCACCACACTGAAGACGGTTCAGAATTTTACACAGTATTTTTCGTGCCCAGGGAGTGAGGCGGACTCCAGCCCTCAGGAGTGGGCATTCCCCTCCCCCAGGCAGGTGTCCCACTGGCTTCGTGGCCTGTCCTCACCCCTGCCTCCCTGGCCCTCGCCTTCCACCCTCTGCCACTCACCCTGTGGAGAAGCTGCCTCTGGTTTCTGGTTGGCCTTCCTGCCCGCCTGTCACACACATGCTTCCGCCTTCTACACAGCAGGCTGCGGGCGCCCCTGCCCTCGCTGTTTCTGGTTTCTAGCCCCTCCCTGCCTGGTCCGAGATCTGCCCTCGTTTTCACAGCTGTGGTCACGCCGTGGTTCGGGAAGCCTTGCTTCCACGTGTGGGCAGTAGTAAGAGTTTACATTTAGTTGTCTTTCATTTTTAGAATTATGTGTGTTTCCCCCCCCCAACTGCCCGATCACTTTTAAGAGCCCTTGTGAAACGTTTGAAACGGCTAACTTACATTCTAGTATTTGAAAACTCTAACACATCTGAAGTCCTCAGATGCCTCCTTATGTCATTTCTTTGGCTAATTTTCCCCCGACAGTTTATTTTCTGTGTAATTTTGAAGCGTGAGCACCCGTCCGCTTATTTACATCTTTGGAAATGGTGAGGCCAGATCTGGGACCACTGTGCGCCCATCTCTCAGCTTTGAGCTTTCTGGATCTCTAAGCAGATCATAGCAATTCAAGCCTTAAATCAACGAGAAGGCCAAACGTGAACACCTGGTTCTCAGGACGGCACCCGCCTTCTGCCTCATCCCCGGAATGGAGGCGGCTCTCCCTCGCCCACCGCTCCCGAACACCTGCCACACCCAGGCCTCAGGGCCGCCCCCCCCCACCTGGCACAGCCCATAAGGGCCCGGCTCGGCTCAGGGTTCAGGCTCAAGGCAGCCTGAGCAGCAGGGCATGTCTCCCGCCTGGGGCTCCCACTGCTCTTATTTGGAGCCTGCTGGGATGTCCCTTTCTTACGCGCTTAGCAGGCATTCCCCCCCCCCCCATCCAGCATGTCTACAGGGGTTCTATCCGGAGGTTATTGGAGACTATCTGGGTGCCACACTGCTGGAAGTGATTTTTTGCACTGAGGTTCTTAGACCGTGGTAGAGCAGTGCCAAAGGACGTTTCTTCGGGTGATGTCCTAGAATCCCTCCGCATAAAAGAGAAAGCCCAGCACCCGCTCCGATGGCGCAGGGCGCAGCAACCGGCTCATCCCCCCGCTGCTGCGGTTCCTTTAGGGAAACTTCCAGGTGTGCCAAGCCCTGCAGGAAGCCTGCAGCCCTGGAGGGACTTGTGCCGAGGTCTTGGCGACAAGCACCGGAAGCTCACGATTTGGAGCTACGCTCAGCCTGGAATGGTGCCCCCCTCCACGGAAGCGGAGCCACGGACAAGGGTCAGGGCACCTCCGCCCTAAATCCTGTCCACCACGAGCTGCCCGGGCCTCCCATTTCTGATGACGCAGAATCCGACTCTGCGGACCCCGCGGCTGTTTCCAGAGCCTCTGCTCTGCGGGTCGCACGTCCGTCTGTCCGTCCGTCCGTCCAGTACCCTTGCTGGAGGCGGGGCTCACCTTCACGACGTACACTCTGACCAGGAGCTTGAGGGGCCGGTTCTGTGGGATCCCTCGAGAGATCTTGGGCTCAGAGGACACTGCCTGTGCCTCCGGGTAGATGAGGAAGGAGCCCTGGGGTGGGGACGTCAGGAAAGCCCCTGGTAAGAGAGTTTTCTCCCCAATCCCTGCTGTGAGCACCCCCCACCCCACACGCACGTACCTTGAACTTGCCCACAAAGCGCTCAGACCCTCCTTCTTCTGCATCTCCGTCCCCCTGGCCCCCTTGGCCACGGTACAGGGGAAACACGTTCAGCCAGTCCTCGAAGTGGTCAAACTCTTCCTCCAGGCACCTGTTGTAGATCTGGAGGGCCGGGGCCTCTGTGACAGCCACACGCGCTGGCTCCAAGAGCCCCACCCCCAGCACCCAGTTACCTTCAGGGTGGCGACAGCTTTCTTCCGGGGTGCTGAGCCTTTGACTTCAGCCTCCCCCTGGTCTTGGGCCTCCCCTTCCACAGGAATGAGGTTGATCCCACCTGGAAGCAGCAAAAACGCCCTGGTCCCAAACACCGGAGCGGGCAGCAGCCTGGACAGACGGAATGAGGGCAGGAAGGGGCAGTCTCTGACCTGAGTCCCCGGGGTCGTCCATTTCATCCTCCTCGAGGCTGGGCTGAAATCAGAGGGCAGGTCAGAGTGCTCCCCCCTCCCCCTCCGCAGTGCACCTCTTGTCCGGGATGGGGGGTGAGGACCCTAATTCATGCTCCAGCTCTGACAGGCCACGTGCTTTGTCAAAGCTGAACCAGGACAGTACCCAGGGGCTGCGTGTGGCTACTGAGTGTTTGCAATGCGCCTGAACGGAGACGTGCAGCGAGTGGGAAATACACACCACATATACTGACTTGGGATAAAATTAGAAAGTAAAACATCTCATTAATTTAGATAATGACTATTTGTTAAAAATATCACACTCTGGGGGGCCAGCACTGTGGCGTAGCGGGTAAAGCTGCTGCCTAAAGTGCCAGCATCCCATATGGGCACCGGTTCGAGTCCTGGCTGCTCCACTTCTGATCCAGCTCTCGGCTATGGCCTGGGAAAGTGGGAAAAAAGATGGCCCAAGTCCTTGTGCCCCTGCACTCCCATGGGAGACCTGGAAGAAGCTCCTGGCTCGGATCAGCACAGCTCCGGCCGTTGCAAACAACTGCGGAATGAACCAACGGATAGAAGATCTCTCTTTCTCTCTCTCTGTAACTCTTTCAAATAAATAAATCAATCTTTAAAAAATCACACTTTGAATAGGCTAAATAAAATATACTATTAAAATTAATTTTAGTTTTTTTTTTTTTTTTTTTTTTTTTTTTTTTTAAAGGACAGCGAAGGCCGGCACCGCAGCTCACTAGGCTAATCCTCCGCCTTGCGGCGCCGGCACACCGGGTTCTAGTCCCGGTCAGGGCGCCGGATTCTGTCCCGGTTGCCCCTCTTCCAGGCCAGCTCTCTGCTGTGGCCAGGGAGTGAAGTGGAGGATGGCCCAAGTGCTTGGGCCCTGCACCCCATGGGAGACCAGGATAAGTACCTGGCTCCTGCCATCGGATCAGCACGGCGCGCTGGCCACAGCGCACCGGCCGCGGCAGCCATTGGAGGGTGAACCAACAGCAAAGGAAGACCTTTCTCTCTGTCTCTCTCACTGTCCACTCTGCCTGTGAAAAATAAATAAATAAATAAATAAATAAATAAAGGACAGCGAGCGAGCGAGATCGATCTTCATCTACTGGTTCACTTCCCAAATGCCCACAACAGCCATGGTTGGGCCAGGCTGAAACTGGGATCTCAGTCCCATGTGCAGTAGGGACCCAGTACTTGGCCATCACCGTTGCCTCCCGGGGTGCACAGCAGCAGGAAGCTGAAATTGGACATGGAGCTGGGACTTGAACCCAGGTACTCCGGGACAGATTGTGGCACTCCCAGCTGCGTCTTCACCGCGCCACTCGATGTCTGCCCCAGCCTTTTATGTTGTACGTGTGGGGTGTGTGTGTTACATTGTGTGTGTGCGTTTTAACTTATTTGAAAGGTAGACAGAGAGAGTGAGACGGAGATCTTCCATCTGCTGGTTCACTCTCCAGTTTCTTGCAACTTTCAGGGCCAGATGAAAGCCAGGAGCCCAGGCATTCCACGCAGTTCTCTCATGTGCATTCCAGGGACCCAACTCCTTGAGCCGTCACCTGCTGCCTCCCAGGGCGAGGACTAGGAGGGAGCTGGAGCCGGAAGTGGAGCTTGTTCTCGAACCCAGGCAACTGCACGTGGGATGCAGGTGTCCCAAGCCGCATCTCAACTGCCTGCATCACACGCCTGCTCCCTTTTATGTTTTTTTTTTTTTTTTTTTTTTTGAAATGTGGCTGCTAAGAAAGTTGAAACGACACATGTGGCTGTCGGACACCAGGGCTCTGGATAACAGAGCAGACAGTTCTGAAGCCGAGAAGAGAGGACAGCATGGAACAGCTCGGGGACAGCGCGGGGCTTCGGCTCCCGGAGGTCATCTCCCAGCCCTTCAGCCTCCGCCCACCTGTCCCCGGAGCTCCTGCAGCGACGCGTAGTACTTGGACCACCAGTCAAGCTCCTCAGGGTCAGGGACGTCTTCCTCCAGCTCAGGGCCTTGGCTCAGGAGGCCTCCCAGCGGGAGCTTCTTCAGGGCAACAAGGGAGAAGACTCAGGGCTCCGGAGCCGGCACTACCCCGAGCCCCGGCCGCCCCTTCCCCACCTTCCCCCCACATCCGTCACCTTCAGGAGCCGCCCGGACAGCCCTGCTTCAGCCAGCGGGGGATCTGGAGACTTGGATTCTGGGAAGGGGGAAAGGACAGCAGGTCGGGCAAGCAGAAGGCAGACTCGCAACCCTGGCACCTCTCTGCCGGAAGCAGAGGGCTTCTATCTGGTGGTCCCTAGGGAGGAGGCCCCTAACCTTGAGGTCCTTTGGGCACCAGGTCCCCCGGGTCCTCCTCTTCTCCTTCCTCCTCAGGGGCATCCTCGGGACCCTGGAGTGTGAACCTCAGCATGTGGGGGACAATGTGGGAGCCCACCAGGACCGTGCGGCCAAAGGCCCGGCGCTCGATCACCAGGATGCTGAGTGGGGGCTGCAGGTAAGGCTGCTCTGGCAAGTCCTGGGGCGGGGAGAGAGGAGGAGGAGGGGTGAGCAGCTGCAGGACTGGCGGGAGGAGGTGCATCCAGGCCTGCGTGCCAGGCCAGGCCAGTCACCGGCTTCCGACCCTGTGTTCCAGCTAAATGGAGGACACCATGTCAGACTCAAAAGACTGCTGCATCCAATGACGGAGCAGACAGAACAGCACTGTGGAGCCTAGCAAGCGCTATCAGAATGGGGTGGGCGTGGTTATCCTTATGCAAAGAACCAATGTTCAACTTGCAAATATAAAATTAGACCCATAAAAATATGTATGGTCTTTAACACAGCAATTCTGTCTTTATCAATAGCTCCCAGCAGGAGGAAAAGCAATGACAATACTATTGTATTGCTGGGTTTATTTTTTCAAAGACTTGTTTTATCTATTTTATTTGAAAGGCAAAGTTACAGAAAGAGGGAGAGACAGAGAGAGAGAAAAGATCTTCCATCTGCAGGACTAGGCCAGGGTGAAGCCAGGAGCCAGGAGCTTCTTCCAGGTCTCCCATGTGAGTGCAGGGGCCCAAGCACTTGGGCCATCTTCTGCTGCTTTCCCAGGCACATTAGCAGGGAACTGGATCAGAAGTGGAATAGCCAGGACTTGAACTGGCGCCCATATGGGATGCCAGCATCCCAGTCAGCGCCTTAACCTGCTAATCACAATGCCAACCTGTTTATGTTTTTTCTGTATGTGACACATAGGAGGTACTGGCCAGCGGTCCCAGCCACTGCGGCCTTTTGGGGAGAGAACCAGAGAATGGAAGATCTCTCTCTCTTTCCCATCTCTCCCTCTGTCACTCTGCCTTTCAAGTAAATAAACAAACGCCTAAAAACTAAAGGCACTGTCCATGAGGAACAGGTGCCCCACTAGACGTCTACCAAATTTGCTGGCACCCTGATCTGAATCCCAGGCGCCCGGACTGCGAGCGTCAATTCCTGTTCCTTACCACTTCCCAGGCTGCGGACACACCAAGCCACAGCCCCGGGAGCTCACGGAGCTTCCTGCTCCCGGTGCCCTCACTCACAGCACAGCCAGCATTCAAACTGAGACGCGCTGCGCATGGGACGGCGGCAGGAACAGCCCCGGGGTTCTGTGTCGTCCCCCTGAGGTCTGGAGCCGCCATGCCTTGCCCCAGCCACCCCTCCGCATGGGCTCTGCACTTCACCAAGGTCCTCCTTGTCCCTGGCTCCTCGCAGCACCCATCCTCTGAGGACCCTGGGCCCTGTCCTTCCAGCCCCCTTTTTGTTTTGTTCCTTTTGTCACCCCCATTACACATATAGAAACTGAAGCTTGAGTAAGGCAAGCAGCCTTGCCAGACTTTGACTCCAACACCAAATAGAGTAATTGGAAATTACACAAAGAATGTGTTATTCGGGGCCGGCGCTGTGGCCTAGCGGGTAAGGCCACTGCCTGCAGTGCCCACATCCCATATGGGCGCCAGTTTGAGTCCCAGCTGCTCTACTTCTGATCCAGCTCCCTGCTATGGCCTGGGAAAGCAGCAGAAGATGGCCCAGGTCCTTGGGCCCCTGCACTCATGTGGGAGACCCAGAAGAAGCTCCTGGCTCCTGGCTTCAGATCAGCACAGCTCCAGCCGTTGTGACCAACTGGGGAGTGAACCAGCAGATGGAGGACCTCTCTGTCTCTACCTCTGCCTCTCTGTAACTCTGCCTTTCAAACAAATAAATAAATCTTTAAAAGAAAAAAAAGAATGTGTTGTTCTTCTCAGACCCTGGCATCTCAGAGACTGGGCAGATCCCTTGCTACTCACCCTTCACTTGCAAAACGTCTGCATTCAACAGAGCTGAGAGGGCACCCTCAGAGCGTGCAGTAATTCAAGGACCCGTGAACTACAGCCCGTGGGCCTTGCCTGGCCCCACCGCCAGCTTTTGTAAGTGAAGTTTTATTGGGACACAGCCGTACGCCCACACACACCGTCTGTGGCTATGGTGGCATCTGAGACCACAGAGCCCACAAAGCCTAAACTCACGCTGTGACCCTGAACAATCCAAGAGGCCAGCAGGACCGTCCTGGTGCTCCGCCCGCTCCACCCCTCTGCCCAGCACTCCCTGCCCCAGCCCAGGCCCTCACCACCGTCAGATGCTTGACGAGCTCGGTGAAGTTGGGGCTCTCGCGGTAGCTGGCCAGGACCTCGGACTCCACCCGTCGCCCAGCCACCTCCAGCACAACCTGGGGCTGCTCCACCTCGAACAGATGCACGCGCCCGAGGCCCCGCAGGCCCCAGAACAGCACCTGCAGTCAGGAAGCGGGGCTCTCAGGGGCCTGCATCTGACCGCCGGGCGCCCAGCGGCGGGGAGCGAGGGGGCCCTGAGGGCCTGCTGCTACCTCCACGCGGAACTCCCTGAGCACGGGACGCACGCTGGGTGGCAGGGCCAGGCGTCCGGAGACGGGCTCCACCAAGGGCGTCAGGTCCTGGGGCTCCACGTCACTGGGCACTGAGGGCTGCGGTGGGGACGGGTTCAGAGGTCAAAGAGCAATCAGACCAAAGGAGGCGAGGGATGTGGAGCTGCCGGCGAGGCGTCGGCCAGGCGGGGTTGGGTGGGGGTAGGGGGTGGGAGGATGGGTGGTGTCAGGGAGCAGCCGTGAGCTGGATGGGAGGGCAGGTATCTGAGGCATCGGGAACGGGTGGCTCCGGGTTGAGCCCACAGCCTGGGTGCCCTGGGTGGGAGGCCTGGCAAGGTGAGCCTAGAGTACAGGCACTGGGCATGTCCCAAGAGGTGACCCCAGGACAGGCCTGCAACCCGTGTTCTCAGGGGTGGGGCCCTGCAGGGACGTCCCCGGGGCACGCCCACGCTGTCTTCCCAGGGCTGCGCAGCTGCCCCGGGGTGGGGGGGTGTCTGACCTCAAGTCGGCGGCTGTAGTCCAGTTCAATGAGTTCGAAGGTGGCGATGAGCTCTCCGGCCGCCCGGGGCCCCTTCCTCAGGGGAAAGAACTGCAGCTCGGGCCGCTGGTACGGGTCCTCCACCAGCTTTACCCTGGGCGCAGCCAGCGCCCTGCCCAGGAACACAGCAGGGCCCTGCGGGGAGCAGGGTGGTGGAGACGAAACAGGAAGAGGCTCAGGAGCCAGCGGAGGCGGAGGGACCCCAGGCCAGGGAGCCAGGTGGGGCCCGGGCCACACTCACAAACTTATTGTGGTCAAAGACATTGATGACCACCAAGGGAGGCTCCTCCTGCAGGTGCTCCCTCCGCCCGTCCACGATCAGCTGATCAAATACCAAGAGTTCATCCCACAGCGGGCTCAGCGTCTGCTCCAGGACCTGGGGGCAGGGGGCGCGCAGGGCAGGGGCAGTTGTCAGAGGGCTCCAGGCACAGGCCAGGTGAGCTCTCCTGCAGTACCATGAGGTTGGCCCTAGGGAACTGGATGAAGGCAAAAGCAAATCCAGGGTGGTATTGGGCCTGGCCCTCCCGGGGCCACTGGAATCTGCCGCCCTCAGAGCCCTGGCCCACAGTGAACCCCGGAAAGCGACCCTCTGGCTCTACCACTGCACCCCAAGTCAGACCAGTTCACTCCACATCCTGTCCTGAAAATGCAGAATGGGACTTGTGGGGAAGCTCAGGCCCACACCGCCCTGATCCCACCCGGGGGGCCTCACCCGCGTGGTCTGGCACTGGGTAGAGATGAGCACTCGAGCAAAGGGGTCCGAGAGCCCACTGTCGTCTGCGGCCAGCACACCTCGGGCCTGGTACATGTGAGCCCGGAGCTGGAAGTAGCTGAAGTCTGGGGTGAGGGGGAAGGAAGCAGGGGTCTGCTCAGGGGTGCACCCGGCTCCGGAGCCCCGCACCTCGGGGAAGCTGCCCACGTCCTGCACTCACCATCCCGGTGCAGGCTGCGGGGCAGCCCAGCCACAGGCTCGGGCAGCAGGTCCGGAGGCAGCTCGGAGGTGCAGGCCTTGGCTTGCTTGCCCAGCCCCAGCCACAGGAAGAGCTCCAGCTTGGCACAGACCTCGCCAGGGGCTGCTCCAGGGGCCTGCGGTGGGCAGGAGGCCTGTCAGGGCCCTGGGTACCGACACTGGACCCAACAGTCCTGCTGCCCCCAGGCACAGCCACCTCTGCTGCTGATCCATCCCTAAGCTCCCTGATCCAAACAACACTCCCCGCGCCCCCAGCATTGCACCCCCTCCAAGGCCATTCCCTACACCTCCGACACTAACACCAGCACTTCCTGTACCCAGAACCGTACTCTAAGCTCTGCACGCCTTTGTCCCTCCATCCCCGACACATTGTTTGCAGGGGTGCCTCACTGAGATCTTGTGTGCAATCTGCAAGCCCTCACACTCGTAAGGGGCTAACTACTCCTTTTGTTGCCATCCTGCCCATGTCCCAGCCCGGGTTGCCAGGGGGCCAGGGCAGGCCCAGGGGTAACAACACTTGCTGCTCATCTCTGTTCAAAGCTGACCTGGGCAAAGACACAGTCTCCTGGCTGTGTGGAATTGAAAAGAGTTTGGGGCAGGTCTCGACCCCTGCAGCCCCGGGCTGTCCTGGGAGCCCGCCCCCCACCCCCGCCCACTCCTCCCCAGCACCCCCGCTCCTCACTGTGAGCAGCAGGCTCTGGATCTTCCCACAGTCCCGGCCCCGCTCCTCCTCCACCACAGAGAACAGCACATCCTGGGCAGGGATCCGGGCCCAGGCCACGCGGCGCCGCCCACTGAGCATCCAGACCAGCACGTCGGGCAGAGGCGGCTGGGGCTGTGGGCAGAGAACAGGTCACCCAGCTGAGACCCCTGCTCCCGCAGTCGGGACTGGGTGAGGGGCCAGTGAGCTCCCCACCTAGCTCGTGGACCTCTGCCTGGATGCCCCACCCACCCCTCACTCAAAGTCCAAACTTCGTTTTACAACAGTGGTAAAATACACGTAAGGTAAGGTCAGCTGTCTTAACCATCCCTTCGGGGCGCGGTACGGCGGCATTAAGCTCATCCATGGCACGGTGCAGCCATCACCACCACCGTCTCTGCCCCCAAAGCTTTCCATCCTCCCCAGCTGAAACCCCGTGCCTGTTAGACACTAAGTCCCCACACTTAGTGTCCCCACTGGATCCTCCCAGCCCAGCCCTGACAGCCAGCATCCTACGTCCTGTCTCCATGAACCTGGCCACACTCCAGGGACCACACGACACCTGTTCATGTGCGACCGGCTTCCATCATGCCGCATGACATCCTCAGCACCCACCGCCCGCGGTGCAGCCAGCCCGACTTCCTTACTTCGCCCTCCGTGCAGCTTGGTCCTCCCTTCGCTAAGCAGGTACCCATCCACCCCCAGCCTCTGTCGCATCTTTCTTAGTAATTCCATCCCTTTAAGATGCTGTTTGTCTCCCTTACTAGGACATAGGGCAAGGGCAAGGAACACGGCAGGGCCTGGAACTTCAGGGCCTGATACAGCACGTGTCACATCACAGGGCTTCAAATATCATTGAGCAAGCAACGACCGCAGCAGGCAGGGATCTCTCCCTCCAAACGCAGCCCCGCCCCTCTCCTGTTCAAACCATCCCGGTATCCCGTGTCCCGATTCCCAGCTTTATCTCAGGCATTCGGGGAGTGAACCAAAGGGTGGGAGCTCTCTCAATATACATCTCTCTGCCTCTCAATTAACTAATTGTAAAAAATTATTTTTAAAATATTATTTTATTTGGGGGCTGGCATTGCGGCATAGCAGGTTAAGCCTCCACCTGCAGGGTTGGCATCTATATAATATGGATGCTAGTTTGAGTCCCGGCTTCTCCACTTTCCATCAACTCCCTGCTAATGCACCTGGGAGAGTAGCAGAAGATGGCCCAGGTGCTTGGGTCCCTGCACTCACGTGAGAGACCTGGGAAAAGCTCCTGGCTCAGCCCTGGCCATTGCAGCCATCTGGGAGTGAACAAACAGATCAAAGATCGATTCACTCTCTCTCCCTCCCTCCCTCTCTGTATCTCTGCCTTTCAAGTAAAATAAATAAGTCTTTTAAAAAAAGATTATTTTATTTGAAAGTCAGAGTTAGAGGGGGGGAGGGGGAATCTTTCATCTGCTGGTTCACTCTCCAGATGGCTCCAAGAAGCAGGGATGAGCCAGGTTCAAGCCAGGAGCTCCATCCAGGTTCCCGTGTGGGTGGCAGAGGCACAAACGTGTGAGCCATCTTTCATTGCTTTTCTCAGGCCATTAGCAGGGAGCTGGGTCAGAAGTGGAGCAGCCAGGACACGAACTGGTGCCAGTATTGGATACCAGCAACACAGGTGGTGGCTTACCCCACTATGCCTGCCCAAGTTGTATAAAATTTTAAACAATAGCAAAAGCAATTTTGCAGTAAAATTGAATGTAACAAAGTCTGACCTCTCTCCATAATTCTATCTCCCAGCTGCCCTGGCCTCCCAATCCCAGGCTTGCATACGCTCTTCTTCCTCACTTGCCAAACTCCAACTTATTCTTCAAGATCTAAGACCAAAATCCAGCTGCTAGTTGGACCCTGCGCCACACTGGGCCCCCGCAACCTGGACACCGGTGCTGGGAGGGCGGCCTGCGCTCCAGCGTCACAGAGCTGGCTTTGAAGCCCAGCCCAGCTACCTACCCAGCTACACCAGAAGCACCGCTCACTCTCCCTCTCTAAGCCTCAGTTCCTGCTGCTGTCGAGATGGGTGACCTCTGCCCGAGGGGGCTGGAGGGCTCACGCACGGTAACACATGCAAACGCTTAGCAGAGGGTCTTCCAAAAAGGTGAACTGCTGTCCCTCTCCACACACGTCCTGCTCAGAGCCTCAGAGCAGGAAGGTCACGCCCAGGCGCGCTCTCAAACCCTCCTCCAAAGAGGTCCCGAACAGCCCCTGGTCCCTGCCAGGCACTACTCTCATCCTTGCCTCTAGTGGCTCCAAATGGCTCTTGGTCCTGTGCCCACAGCAACAGAGTCCAGCCCTGGCATCGCTGCCAAGCACAGCTGTTACTCTGCACCTGCCCGGATGCCTCTGGGGTCTCTGGATGCTGGCAAGAAAGGGATGTGGGGTAGGGGCACAGGGCAGTGAGGCATCACCTCCTGAGCCAGGAAGCGCAGTTTTTCCAGGAGCTTTTTGGCCAACATCATCTTCTTTTGCATGGTGCCCTGTCTCAGGCCCCGGAGAAGCCACAGTCCTTGCTTTGCCAACAGGTTCTGGAAGCATAGGCAACAAACATGAGAGCAGAACCCCAGCTAGGCGCCCCGTGCATCCGGTCCCCGGCCCTTACCAGGCTGTGTGTCAGCAATTTCCCCCGGCAGCGGTCCAGGGCATTGGGCCGCGTCATGGTCCGCCGCTCCGCGCCGCGGCTGAACTGTCTGCAGCAGCAGGGCATGCAAAGTGGCAGGGAGTGAGAGGAGAGAAGGTGGGCCCTGGGGGCACCTCCCTGCAGCCCCCCCACAGCCCTCAGGCTTGTCCTCATCCCAGGAGGGCCTCCCATGTCTGGACCACTCCCCAGTGCATCACGGCTGGCCTCACTTTGGAGCCCCAGAGCTCACTGCTACTTCACTATCTATTGCCCTGGGTACTCCAAGTGTGGCCCAGGACCAACACTGGTGTCACCTGTTTGTTAGTTAAAATGCAGAATCTCAGCCTCCCCCCAGACTCTGCTGCAGAATCTTTAGGTTTATCCTGTAGGGGATTCCCATGGCATTAAAAAAAAAAAAAAAAAAGATTTAGGTATACATGTATTAGAAAGGCTTTAAAGTGACAGAGAGGAAGAGACAGACAGACTTCCATCTGCTGGTTCACTCCCCAAAAAGGCCACAACAGCCATGTGCCAGGAACTCCATCTGGGTCTCCCACGCGGGTGCAGGGGCCCAAGGACTTGGGCATCTCCCACTGCTTTCCCAGGCCACAGCAGAGAGCTGGATGGGAAGCGGAGCAGAGAAGGCCACCTCCAGCCTACCTCACTGCCTCTCCCGTCAGTGTCCATGCCGATGCCTCTTCCCCCAGCCTACCCTTAAATGCTGGGGCCCTCCGGGTCGTCAGGTTTCTCTCTACTCCTGAGAGGGCCTTATCTAGACCAGCTTTGTAATGGCAGCTCCCAAATTTACACTCCCAACCTAGAATTCTCCCTGGCAATCACCGCACACAGCTGACTACCTACCAGACAGGTCCATTTATATATCTCATAGGCACGTCAATGTTAACATGTCCAAAATGAGCTACACACACACACACATGTGCGCACACACACACGCACACACACACACACACACCCCTGTTTCCATCAGACCTCCTGCTCCTCTCATTTTCTCCACTGCGCACTAAACAGCTCCCCCATGTAGCTATGCGGGCTGAAATCCCAGGAGCCATTCAGCGCATTCTTTGCTCATTGTCCTCGTCCCTTGTGCCCATCTCCAAATTTCTCTTGAATCCGCTCGTGGTGCTGCCCCTCCGCTGCAGTTACCCTGAATTCCATTCACCATCTCCTGTCTCCTGGGCCAGCACAATGCCCGCTTGAACAATTCCCCCGCTTGCTCTCCGACACCCTCTCCCAGCCCTTGATCCGTGTTGAGGCTAAGTCAGAGCACGGCTCTTCCCAGAACCTTCCGTGGCTCCCCATCTCACGCAGGGCTGCAGCGAGGCTTCCTCTGTCCGCCTCCAGCCGCCTCCTCTGCTCACTCTGCCACAGTCGCACTGGCTTGCTGGCTCTTCCTCAAGCCTGCCGCTCCTGCTCCCTGACAGAGCCGGCTTGCTCCGGTCACCTTCACGGCGGCAACCCGCCTCCATCCTCTAAAACTGCAGTGCCTCTAATGCTCCCTGGCTTTGTTTTCCCCTTGACACTTGCCCTCCCCCTACTCATTAGACATGCTTCTCTTCATTTACATGTCTGTTAGCTGTGTGTCTCTTCACCCCCGCCTCCCCCTCCCTGCAATGGAAGCTTCAGGGGTCTCCGTAGACAGAAATTTCTGTAGACAGAATTCCTGTGCTTAAAACAGTGTCGGCACATGGAGTGATCGAATAAAGAGAAACAGCTGTCCCCAGAACAGCATCAAGTGAGAGACTTAAGTATCTACAGCAGGTTATGGGATTCAGGGCAGTGAAGGTCAAAGATCGAAGTGACCAGAACACGTTTATGTGGTTGCAGCAGTGACCCGGTCAGTGGGGATCAGTGGATGATGCTGGAGAGAGCGAATTCCTGCAGCAGGAGAGGGAGGTGCAATCAAGATCCCAGCTGTGGCTGTTGGGGCGGGGACTACCCCCACTAGGACAGGCAAGAAGGGAGCAGACGGATACAGAAGCTGGCAGGTGCAGAGTGAATGGAGGAAGGTGAGGCAGCTGTGTTCCCCACAAAGCGGGAGAGGCCACTAGTGGGAACAAGTGTGGAGGGGCTGGGGGCTGAGGAGAAGGTTATCAGCCTCTAGGAGCCTGGAAAAGGGAGCCTCTTCCATCCGCACTGTCGGCCCCAGGGATAGGCAGCAGCCAGGGCTGGCTCCCCACTCACCTGCTCCCGGCCACCAGCTCCTCCAGCGCCTGCTTGAGCCTCGTGCAGGCGCCAGGTCCCGGTCTGCGCTGCATCTTCTCAACCTCCTGCAGCCCCAGGTCCTGCCCACCCCGGGCAGAGGGTCAGGGAGCCTGGAAGGTGTCCGACACCCAGCCCCTCGCGCCCTCACCCCGTCCACTGGCGACCACACCTCTTGGCCAGCCCTTCTTTGGCTCCAGGGGGGTTGGTGGTTTCATTTTTGTAGCCCCCACCTGGACCCAGCCCTGTGGGCCCCGCCCCCAACAGCTCTGCCCATCTTCACCCAGCCCCTTCCTGGGTGCAATTCTGAATCTCTGTCCTCAGTTCACCCAAAAGCTTCGCTCCTGTCTGCTGCCCTCTGGCCTGGCGCGCACAGGGAGCCGGTGCTCTGACCATCAGCCTCTTCCAGGGCTCCATTGAAGGCCACGGCCGCCCCAGCGTCCCTGTGGCCCAGGGCCTCCCTGTGCGCGCCAGCCTTGCCCTCACCAGCCGCTCAGCCACTTTGCGCACGCAGTTGCTGCTGTGCAGGCGCCACGTGTAGTCCTCCCAGCGGCTCCACACGCGCACGCAGGGCTTGCAGTGCCGCAGGGGCAGGCAGAGGTACGGCCTGGGTTGGTGGAGACCGGAAGAGGCTTCGCAGGTGTCCTAGGTCCCTGGAGACACCCCCACTCCCTTCCAGTCGCCCGGTGGGCTCACCCACTGCCGTCCATGGGCTCAGGCCGCTGAGCGGGGGTCCCCAGCTCCTCTTCCTCCTTCTCCTCCTCATCCTGCTCAGCCCCCACTTCTGACTCCAGCAGAGGCTGGGTCTCTGCCATGGCATCCTCGGCCTCCTCTCCGGCCCCGGACCCTCGGCCCAAGCGCTCCTCCTGCCGGCCGGCGCGACCTGCCCCAGAGCGGCAAAGGTCCAGGTGAGGATCGGACCCCTTCCTGGGCCGCCTCTGCCTCAGTAGAAGTCAGAACAGCAGGGGCCCGGGTCTCATTGCCCTCGACCCTCGACCCTCGACCCTCTGGGGTTTCGGGACGCCACGTACCGATAGAGATCTCAAAGCTGATGGGTTGGGAGGCCACGGCAGGGTCAATCATGGTGGCCTCGAAGAGCACACCGAAAAGCAGGAAGTCTTGGTAGGGCGCCAGGGCGTTCTGGGGAAGGGAGGCAGGCTGCAGGGGGCCCCTAACCCGGCCTGCGCTGTGCCCGACCACAAAACCCACGGAAAAACTTGCACAAGGCCTGGAAGTGGCTGCGGGTGCCCTCCCTCCCTCTCTGTCCCTGATGCTCCCTGTAACAGGTGCACGTACGCCCGCACCCGCCTGCAGCCACACTGTCCCACTTACTCAGGACCCCAGACTTTCACCCTCCGCGGCCCATGCTGTTTGATGAGGAGGAGGGGACCCCACCCCCCTTGCTGTAGACCCAGCTCCCACCTCTGGCAGCGGCAGCAGCTCTTCCACCTCCACTTCCATGGCGCTGGGAATCTCAGGCCCATCAGCACTGGTGCCGGCGCCGGCGGCCCCCGACTGCGGAGCCCCTGTTGGGGCCTGGCCGCGCCTGGCTTTCTTCTTCTTCTTTCCGGTCAGTCGGGACAATCTAGACCCCTGTGGGGCCTTGGGGGCCTCAGGCTCAGCTCTGCCTTCGAACACCTCCATGGACACAGCCACCAGCAGGCGGCCGCGGTACCAAATGCCTTGGCCAAAGCCTTCGTTGAGACTTTGAAGACCATCCCGGAGCCCAGCACTGGGGAGCGAGCCGTACAGGGGCACCCAGGCCGGGCCGAAGGTGGGGTTAAACCCCGCTGCGGGGGCCAAGAACGGGGTTTTGGAGAGGAGCACGGGGCAGGTGGGTACCAGGTCAGCCCACGCGCCGCACCCTCATCTCCACCCAGTCCGGCCCGGTGCGGGGCCGGGGAGGAGCTCGGCTGCTCTGGAACCGAAGGCGCCAGCGGAAGAGTCACGGACACACAGCTTGGACCACACCTCCTGGCACCCTCTCCAAAGGAGTGGCCGAAAGGGCCCCGGGGCGAAGCCAGCGCCCTGGAGGCGGAGCCACCGGCGCAGGAGCTAATAGCGACCGGGAAAGCCAAGGGGGTGGCCAGCCGCGTACCCCGCAGCTTGCAGTGCGTGGAGGAAGGGTGCGCTGAGACGGTCACGGGATATGCGGCTAAGGTCGGGGTTCTGTCAGCGAGGGTGGGGTTCATGGTCTGGGGCCGGTAGGACAGGGCCATGTGTGTGCTATGGGGTGCATCACAGTCGCTACGTCGAGCTGGTACCCGCGGATGGGGTTCGCGCCGGGGGTGAGACCTCAGGGGCAACCGGGGCTGCGAAGGAGAGGCAGAGTGCGGCTCTCACCTGCGCGGCCTGCGTGGGAGATCTGCCTCAGGTCCAGCACGTGCGTGGCGAGGGCCACGTCGCCGAGCGGCGCGTCGTCCCGCAGCTGCAGGCGAAGGCCGCGCGTCAGCGGCGGGAAGAGCTCCACGAAGCTCAGCTGCTCGTTCCACTCGGGCGCTGCCGCCTCCTCGCGCACCGACGTCTCGCCCTGCAGGCGGCAGCGTGCACAGGTGGTCGGTGCGCGTGGGCTCAGGGCCCGAGACGCGGCGGGGAGGGCGCGGGAGCCCCTTACCTGCTGTCCCAGGAAAGACACCCTCACGTAAGGGTCCAGGAGGACGCGCTGGTCCTGCAGGGCGCGGGCCAGGCTTCCCAGCAGCCCGGGGCGCAGCGCCGGAAGGCCCTCGGCGCGGAACACGCGCACGCGGAGCCGTGCCCACGGCCGCTCGGCCGGCACCCGGCGAGGCAGGAGCAGGTTCCTAGTGGAGCCGGGTGCTGAGGGCGGGGCCGCGGGAATCCGGGGCCCGCGCCCGCGCCCGCGCCGGCGACCCCTCCCCACCTCTTCCCTCCTCGGCCAGCCCCCGCCCTCGGCTCCCGGCATGGCTCACTTCTCGATGTCCGCGCTGTGCCCGGGGCCCGGGGCCGGCAGTGAAGGGGGCAGGTCCCCGCGCGCCCTCACGGACAGTGTGACCTTGACAAAGCCCTTGATCCCGGCGCGGGTGTCCCGAGGGTCGTGCAGCGGAGCCCATTTCTGGTAGAAATGGCCATCTAGGGGCAGCGGGGGTGGGGTGGGGGACGGCCCGAGTCAGGGGACCCTGGCTAGGCGAGCGTCGGGTGGCGGCCGGGTCCCCGTGCGATGGCCCCGCAGGAGGAGCGCCAGGGCCCAGGGGCCAGTCGGCTCAACAGCGAGCAAGCCGCGGTCCGGGCTGGCCACTGTGCGGAGGGCCGCCTGCGGGTCCTGGTCGGCACGGATAGGACTCTTAAGGGGAGCGCTCCGTACCTGGCTGGTCGAAGACGATGCCCAGGTCCATCCTGAAGGTGCCTATCCGGGTGGCCATGAAGGGCAGGGTCTGCGAGTGGAAAGCCTGGGGTGGGGGGCGGGGGAGGCGCTGTCAGCCCTGAGGCTTCCGCATGCCCTCGATGGGACCGAGGCTCCCCGTGCCTGCTCACCGTGATCTCCAGCAGCATGTCCTGGAGGCGAAGCCGGCTCTCGTGAAATTCGAACAGAAAGTACTGGGTTGAAGGAGAGAAGCGTAGAGATAAAGGTTTTTACCCCATCTCGCCCCCTCCGGGACCGTGCCCACCTGGGTCCCCCCATCCCCTCAGACCCGCCCACCTCGTTGTAGAAGGGGCAATTGGTCCCGCGCTGCGTGGCCGTGACTCGGCGCTGCTCCCCGACACGCACGGCCACGTAGGGGTTAATGTTGACCCCCACCAGCTTCTGAGCCTCCAGCACGGTGACCCCCACCTGAGGATGCAGAGGAGGAGGAAAAGACCGACCTGCCGAGGTGCGCGCCAAACAGGTGCGGCTGCAGCGCGCAAGCGCGAGGGGCGCGAAGGAGCGCAGTACCTGGAAGTCCTGGGCTCTGGACAGCTGCAAGGGATCCCCGCGGGCCGGGCCCCGAGCTCGGCTGTGGAGAAGCCTAAGGTCAGCTCACCTCCCTGCCCTCCTTGCTTGTGCTCCGGGGAGGGCTGCTCACCCTCTGAGCTTTCTGAGTTCCTTGGGTCTGGCTTTGCCCCATCTCAACCCGACACGAGAATTTGACTCATTCCTGAAGCCCTGCAACCACAGATGCACTCCGCGAAGATGTGCTGAGCACCCACTGCGTGCCCGCCGCATTCTAGGCCCTGGGGTGCTGCAGTAAGCGAGACCACGACCATGTGGGCCTTCATCAAGCTTTCATCACACCTGAGCTCCGCAGGGGCTGGGAGTGGTGACCTTTGACCCCAGGAGCTCCTCCCTTCCCCCCATCCTCTAGGACTGCGTGTTTGTGAGGGTGGATGGGCGTGGGGCCACAGGTGTGAGTGGTGAGACTGACTCACAGGTCGGGTGTGGGCGCAGGTGTGTGGGGCGGGGGGGGGGGGGCACAGGTTACCTCTTCAGGGGGCTGAACACGACCCCGGAGAGCTCGACGTCAGGTTCATCCTCCAGCTCCAGCTCCAGCTCCAGCGCCAGCTCCGTGTCCTCGTCATCGTGCTGGCCTAGGCTTCGGGCTAGTCTGCGGCCCAAAGCCACTGCCCGCCGCTCCAGCCGGGCCTCCTCAGGCCTGGCGGGAGAGGCCTTCAAGGCCAAGCCTGGGACCTGTACCCTTCCCAGCAAGTCCCTTGACCGACCCCTGTCCCTCAGACCCTACTGATCAGACTCCTAACCCTGCAACCCTTCTAATTCCAGAATTGACTCCTGACTCCAGAGGACTGACCTCTGACCCTGGAATTGATTCAGGATTGATCCCAGACCCTAGGACACCCCACACCCCTCACTGCTAAACTCAAGACAGACCCCAGGGACTCCAGGTCATCTCCCACATACTTACTCTAGCTCCTGGAAGCCCACATTGGGGATGATTAGCTCCGAGCTGGAAGGAAGAGAAGGGAGAGGGAGAGAGAGCCAGACCTTAACAGAGATCTGCACTCCAGGCAGCACACACCCAAGGGTCCTGATATCGGGCAGATCCAGAGTAGAATTGGGTACCACTTCCAGGCCTTGCTTATGATGTGGGGCTGGGGTACCTGTCCCGGATGGGTGCCCCGAAGTCCTCCTCTGCCCAGTCCCCGGCAGCACCCTCTGGGGGCTGGTACTTCAGGTCAAGCTCCACCTGGATCTGAACAGACACACGGTGTCCCCCAGGGCCCTCACAGTTTCCCGGGCCTAGGAGAGGCCCAAGGAAAAGGCCTTTAGTTCCATCTGTAAACAAAGACAACTCTCCTGGCCTGGATCTGCGGTGGCTTGTGGTGCCTCTTTGATGATCAATAATGTTGGATACACACACACTATTAAGAACTTAACCATGTGCAACTTATCTCTTGAGGAGGTCAAACACAGCTCCAAAATTCCCTCGTTGCTCTTGGAAATCCCTTACTGTGGGCTCCACAGCTCTGCATGGCCTGGCTCTCGCCAGCCTTCCCAGCTGCACCTCATTCCAGGTCCCCCTTTCTGTTCTGCACCCCAGCTACACCCCCTCTGGGGAACAGGCCTACGCACATGCAGGTTTCTCTGTCTGGAACTCTCTCCCCACCACCCCAAGTCCCACTTGATTGATGCTTACCATCCTCCAGGTCTAGGCCCAAGCACTGATTCCTCAGGGAATCTTTTGTGGGAATCAGGGAACCCGGTGACACACTCTCTTAGCCCCCACCTCTCCTCTGTAACCCCGGCCGATTGTAATTTCACTCATTCCTGTAGTGTTTGTTTCCTGGTTGCCTCCTTCTTTATACAGGGCTCTAGGAGACAGCACATCCTTACCTGGCTTTGCTTGCTGCTGTCTCTTCATTGCTTAGCAGAGAGCTCTCGGCTATAATAAGAGCTCAACAAAGGGTGACAGTCTAAATTAAAAACTTAATAGTTGGTTTGGTTCCACATTATGTAAAGGACCAAACCTCTTGAAGATACTAAATGACTTGTCCAAGTTCTCAGATGGAAAATAACAGACCTGAGATTTGAAGCCAGGTCCATTTCTGCTAGGCTATTCCACCCTCCATGAAACACCAGAAAAATCCAGCCAGGTCTGTCTTTGTCTTCCACAAGCATTGAGTTTGCTGCAGTGGGGGAGCAGCACAGAACTCCGTTTCTCCCCCATTGCCACATCCCTGGGCCTCAGAGTTGAGCTTGGGTCTCAACCCACGTGAGATCAAGGCAGATACTGCAATGAGAGGAGCCCTGGCTGGGGGCCTTGCTACCAGCCCTGTGTGGATCTTGGCTTTTCCCTTCCATGAAGTGGAACCCTGTGTCCTGAGTGGGGCGTGCCGGGCGCTGGGTGTGCTCACCGGGGACACGCGCAGGTGTTCGTCCACTAGAGCCTCTCGCAGCACCAAGTGCCCAGCACTCTGCAGCTGCTGCAGGGAGATCACCAGGGTCCCCAGAGGCCTGCAGGAGCAGCACGGAGCAGAAGAGTGACCCAGGGGAATGGCACCAAGCCACCCCACCCCCACCTCCATCCCTGGCTCCCCCGGACCTACTCACCTGGGCCTGAACACACGGCTGCAATTGACAACCCGCACAGACAGACACTCCCCAGCCAGTGGAGCCCCATAGTGGGGCCAGCGGAACAACTAGACATAGGAGGAAGCTTGTGACACCCAGTGCTGGGCTGACCCCGGCTCCCAGTCCAGAGCCTATTCCCAACCCTGAAACAGAGGCTGACCCTCCAGACTTGGAGCTGACTCTAGAACTGACTGCCCAAACCTGGAACTGATCCCTGAAAGTAGGGTTGACTCCAAACTACAGGCTAAAAGCCTTGGGACTAACTTTTCCTAAACTGAGTCTGACCTCTCAGTCTTCAGACTGACCCCACCTCCTCAGAGTGTGCTCCCAAAACCCCGGAACGAGCCCCTGAATCCCAGTGTGGACATGGTCTGGTCTCCATCTAGGAACGAACTGTACTGACCTCACCGATGTCAGCGTCTCGGCCACAGTGGATTTTCCTTGTTTTCTGGGTATAGCCTGCTCAGAACTGAAACTTGTCATTTATCAGCTCCTCCTCACACACCAAAACAATCATCTGCTTCCCTTACCCTTGGCCTGCTGTCCACCCCTCCCTGGATTGACCCTTAAAAGATGGGGAGGGAAGGAGGCAGCAGGTTGGAGAGATCACGGTGGGAGAGGAGAGAGGTGACAGAGATGGTAAGGGGTTGGGTTGCAGGTCTAGGGCCTGCAGGTTCTAGAAATCCCCAGTTCCAAAAATCCTTAGAGCACTCCCCACAAAACTCACCCCGAAAGCTGAGCTTGACTTGCCGGTCGTGGATGCCTGGCAGTCCTGTTAGTCGCCGCACACACACGGTCAGAGCCATGGTCCTAGCGCCACTGGCTCGCTCACGGTCTGCTTGCCCTCCTGCCCACCGGAATCGCCTCTGACTCATGGGACTCACCCAGCAGGTTCAGCAATCCCTGCCCTTTAGTCAAATACATGGGCAGCAGGCCTGGTGGTCATGGGTGAAGAGGGAGGGGGACTGAGATGGGGGAGGCCTCGCGGTCAGCCCCATCCTCCTTGCCTGAACCAGCTGCAAGTGGGCAGGACCACTTTGGCCTCCATCCTGCATCCTTGTGGCGATGGAGACAAGGGAAGAGGCAGGATTCCAGGCTACAAGGCTTCAAGGGCATACGCTTCAGATTGCTCTTTGTTCATTTCTCTCTCTTCGATGCCCAGCTGAGGTGTGGCACATATTAGGCCCTCAAAACACTAGCCGGATAAATGAATGGATTAGTAAATGACTCTCCTAGCCCCAGCATTGGTGCTATAGGCATTTGACACATTAATTAATTAACTAATGATGATTAAATGCATGTCCCTAGCTTGCATATAATAGTTGTTCAACACACCAGTGGCCAGAGGTCCTTGACTCTGGGTCCTAGGACGCTCATGGGACCAGTCCATAAAGTATGCATGAATGTTTCTGGACATAGAGCTCCTTGCTTGGTTAATAACACTTAAACAGGTGTGCAATTGTTGTGCCCATTGAAGTACTTAACGTATGTTAGGTGACAGTACTGTGTGTCGAGTGCCTTGCACAGTCACTGACTCGATTATTTTATTTTTTTACTCCTATGAGCAGGACTTGGGCTAGACCATCTGGGCAAGGGCAAGGGCAAGGGCAGCACAGTTCAGCCACAGAGGCGAATCACATGTGTTCTGTCTTCCAGCAGCTTCATGGTTTCCATCCCTATCATAGCCAGGAGAGACTGCAGTTACAGAGAGGAAGGGGCCAGGGCCAAGGATCTACGAGGGAGAGCAGAGGTGGAAGTGTTAAAAGAGGCCTGGAGTTGAGAGCAGGGAGGAATGCAGGGTGTGTTCTGAGACATGTGATTCGTTCGGTTAGGCCTGATTACAAGGCATGTGTTGGGCAGCAGCGGCAGATAAGATTAGGCGGTCAGAGGAGCTGGATCTTGACATGGTCCTTCCTTGTGCGTCAGCTTTTCCTGCTCAGTGCTGGAGTCGGAAAGCCCTGTGCTGCCTACATCTCAGGCATTGAAATGAGCTTTTGGATCTATGAACATTAGACAAGACGGATGGGTCCTTTTATTTCTAAGCAAGGCCCAGTTTGGACCTTGAGACCCTCTGATGTTAGGGGAGGGCTTCATCTCCCCCTAAAGGGATGATGGACACTGGATGATGGATGAGGACACTGGACCCAAAGGAGTTCACAAACAGCAACAGGGCAGGGTGGGATGAGGCCTGGGGAAGGACCAGAATTCTTAGTCTGAAGGGCCCTGGGGTTCCCCCTCCCCACTCCTCCTCCTGGACTCTGCGGGCATCTCATCAATCAAAGGGCTGACATCACCCCCTGGAACCTGGCACGGGCATCTCCCCTCTGGCCTGGAACACAGCTGGACATATTGTCCCTGTGCCTCAAGCCCTCTAAGAACTGCTACTTGCACTTCCTAGAATTCTAAGGAAGGTGCGATGAGGCAGGAAGGGTACTTCGGGGATTCCCATTGTGAGCAGTGCATGGTCTCAGGGGAGCATCTGTAACTTTCCCAAGATTGCCTTCACAGTGCGGTCCTTAATCGGGCCCGGGCACGTGGTTGATCAAAATTCTGGGACAGGCATTTAGTCTAGCAGTGCAGATGCAGCTTCCATGTCTGCTTTCCACATCAGAGTATCTGGCTGTGACAGTGGCTTGGGCTTCCTGCTAATGCGGACCTGGGAGGCAGTAGTGATGGCTCAAGTGCTTGGGTTCCTGCCGCCCACACGGGAGACCTGGGTTGAGTTCCCAGCTCTTGGCTGCAACCCCAACCACTGTGGGATTCCAGCAGATGGGAACTCCTCTCTCTCTCTCTCTGTCTCTCTCTCTCTCTCTCTCTCTCTCTCCCTTCTTGCTCTCTCTCTCACAAAATGCACACTCCTGGGCCCACTGCAGAAGTACTGAAGTAGAATTTCACGGTGTGCTTGGGAACTTGAATTTCTGTGAGCTCTGATCCGCCAGCTCTAACCATCTGTGAGCTCTCATTCTCCACGGCGAGTGTCACCCCACAGACGACCAGGGAGGGACCCAGAGACCCTGAGTCAAAGCTCTCTGTCCCGAACGCTGTGATGAGAGGAGGATGACTGAAGGGCTTGCAGAGCAAAAGGGACTAAATGTTTGTTTAGAGGTGCCCGGGGGGCCAGCGTGGTGGCACAGCGGGTTACCAAGATGGAGTTCCAGGCTCCTGGCTGAAGTAGCACCTTGACAGTAGGGACTCCATTTTGGAGCACTTGAGACTGCATTCTGGGAAAGTAACCCCCCCACCGTGAGACTCTGGTCTGAAACTATGATCTCAAATAGTCAGACAATAGCAGTGCACTACATCACCCTTGGCAGAGCACAGAAACCCCCTAGCATGATTGCTCAAGCTTGAAAGTAAAAAGGTCGCACCTGGGTTAATGATAAAAATGTGATTTGTCTATGTCTTACATATAATTTGGATTAATGTCAAGATCATAAATGATAATTGTATGATTGTAACTGGTATTGTCAAGATTATGATATTAATTTCACCTAGGTCTTAGGTTATGTTGACCCCAGTAACTATGTACTCTTTTTGATCTTAGCAACCATGTATAGCAACCGTGCATCCCCCCCCCTTCCGATTTTGCGGTTTTTGCCTTTATAAACCCTATGCTGTAGTTCCTCAGGGCTGCTCTGTTCTGGTCTGATCAGAGAGCCCCAGCATGCTGGAAAAATAAAAAAACCCTTTGCAATTTGCATGAGAGAAGTCTTTTGGAGTCGTCCCTCGGGCGGTGGCGTTCTAGACCTTAACATGGCTTCAGCCATTGGGGCCGTTGGGGGGAGTGAACCAGAGGATGGAAGATCTCAGTTCTCTCTCTGTGTCTCCCTCTCTGTGTCACTCTTTCAGATAAATAGATAAATGAAATATCTCTAAGGGCCCTGGGTATTGCTGCTCCTTCTTAACATTCGTTCACCGACAAACGTCTGAGCACCCACCCAGACCTACTCAGATACACTAGTGAACAAAATAATCGTCCCTCCCCTAATAAAGTTCGTGTTCTAGGCATGACCGGTAACAAAATAAGTAAAATACATGACGTGTTAGCGACAGGTGCTGAAGAGAAAGACGCAGAAGAAGGGGACAGAAATTCTGGGTGCAATTTTTAGGGACGTGCTGTGATGTCATTGCTTGCTTCAGACGTCAGGAAGTGACTGCCATGGCTCCCGGTGACGTCACGACCAGCTCTGTGACGCGCGGTCAGGAGCCGTTGGGCTCCTCTATGACGTTGGCAGCCTGGTTCAGACGCGGGCGAGAGTGCTGGGTCGGGCCTCAGGGCCCGCCGGCTGCACGCAAGGTCAGCTGCTGAGGGCGGGGGGCCAAGGGCCTTGGCTGCTGCGGCGGCGACTTCGGCGTCCCGGTCAGGATGCGGCGGAGCCCCCGCCCGGGCTCGGCCGCATCCCCACACAAGCACAAGCCCAACTTCTACAGCGACAACAGTAATAGCTCAGAGAGCGCCATCTCGGGGAACAGCCGCGGGCACCGGTCAGCTGGGTCGGGGCCCGGGGAGCTCGAGGGCAGAAGAGCCCGGGGCTCGAGCTGCGGTGAGCCCGCCCTGAGCGCAGGAGTGCCCGGAGGAGCCACATGGGCAGGAAGCTCTCGGCCGAAGCCTGCGCCTCGGAGCCACAATGGGCAGACAGCCTGTGGCGCGGCAACCGTGAGGGGCGGGGCCTCGGGTGCGGGCGGGGTCGAACCCGGGTGAGTGGCGGGAGGAGCCGGGCCTACTGGGCGGGGCGTGGTGCGCTGAGGGAGGGCATTTTGCGAGGACGCCCCCCTGGGGTCGGCGCCTCCGTGTGAAGGACCGTTCTGGGAAGGGCGGGGAAACCCTGGGATTGGACAGCCCCTGGGAGGCGTGGCCTCAGCGAGTGAGCCCGAATGGCTCCTGGGGAAATGGAGGCGCCCCAGTACCTCAGTCTGAGGGCGGAGCATTCGTTTGGGGGCGTGACCAACTCCACGGCACTCCCCTGAGGGGCGGGGCCGCAGAATGCCCAGCGTACTGGGGTGGGGGTGCCGCGGGACCAGAGCCCGTGTGAGGCTGCCCGGCCTTCTGGCTTCTGGGCTGGGGGCCGGGGGACGAATGGGCCTGAGGTGCGCAAGGCCCCAATGGAGCCCCTGGGCTCCCGCAGAACCGGCTGGGGCTCCCGTAGTCCCTGAAGAGCAGCTCGACCTTCTCTCGACCCTGGACCTGAGGCAGGAGATGCCGCCCCGGCCGGTGTCCAAGAGCTTCCTGAGTACGGCCCAGGCCAGCCCAGTGCCCTCTGACCGTGCGGCCCTCCCTCCCCGGACTCGGTTCCCAGCCCCTTCCCCGAGCCTCAGCTCATCCGTCAGCCCAGCCCCCTCCCTGCCCCCTCCCGGCCCCCGGCCCGGCCTGAGCCCCTTCCCCTCCTCCAGGCCTGCTCTTCCAGGTGTTGAGCCTGCTGCTGTCCCTGACGGGAGACGCGCTGGTCAGTGTGTACAGGTCAGAGGGCGGGGCGGGCCGCGGCAGGGCCGGACCCGGCTGAGGCCTAGCCGATTCCGACCTGGTTGAGTCGCGTGGCTGGAGCTGGGTCTAGGACCCTGGGGTGGGGGCTGCGGGGTTGCCGGGGTCTGGAGTTCAGCCCGCCTCCGGTTCCTCAGGGAGGTCTGCTCCATCCGCTTCCTGCTCACGGCTGTCTCCCTGCTGGGCTTCTTCCTGGCAGGTGAGGGGCGTGGGAATCCCGGGGCCCCGCCCTGGATGCTTTGGAGCCGAATCTTGCCCGCTTTCTCCCACTTCCCACAGGCCGCGGGGTTCCCTGAGCCCCCCACCCTCCCCGGCCTCCACCCCACGCCTCGTCCCTGACCCTCAGCCGGGGAAACCCCTTCCCTTCCCTTCGCCCCTGCCTGAGACCCCTCCTTCCGTCTCCAGTGCTCTGGTGGGGGCTCCTGTACCTGGTCCCTCCCCTGGAGAACGTGAGTCGGGCCTGTCCTGGGGGGCTGCAAGCTCCGACCTGCAGGGTGGAGGGCTGAGCTGGGGGCCGGGCAGGGCCAGGAACGGCTGGATGCTGCCTGCCGAGGGGTTTTGCCCAGAAGTGCTCTGCGGCCCTGATGCTGGGCGGTCAGGGGAGAGGCATGGTCCCCCAAGAGGAAGCTTCTGGAGCCTGGTTGCCCCCAGGCGACAGCGAGCTGAGCGGAGCCGTGTTTTGTCCCCCTCCGCCCACAGGAACCTAAGGAGATGCTGACTCTAAGGTGAAGGAGGGCACCTAGGGTGGGAAGCTAACGGGGCTCCAAGGGGCTTTGGGGGGACTCACAGGGACAGGGAGCCAACCGCCGGGCGCCGCCTTCCCGCCTGCAGTGAGTACCACGAGCGCGTGCGCTCCCAGGGGCAGCAGCTGCAGCAGCTCCAGGCCGAGCTGGACAGACTGCACAAGGAGGTGTCCAGCGTTCGCTCAGCCAACAGCGAGGTGAGCCCCATCGGTGCCTGCGGGCCTCGCGGCTCGGCCCGCTGCACCCGGGAACCCCCTATGGGATCCCCGCTCCCGGGGCCTGGGGGCTCCAGCTCTGCCTCCATGCAGAGCCCCGACGGAGGGGGGGGGCTTCTCCCCCTGCCCACATGGGAGCGCCCCGAGAACCCCGCCCGCCCCGCCCTCTCGCCTTCCAGAGAGTGGCCAAGCTGGTGTTCCAGAGGCTGAACGAGGACTTTGTGCGGAAGCCCGACTACGCGCTGAGCTCCGTGGGTAAGCGCCACGCGCAGACCTGCTCGCCCGCCGGCCGCGGCCCTTCCGCCGCCGTCGGTAAGGTTACTGCTCCTCGCTCCAGGAGCCTCGATCGATCTGGAGAAGACGTCCCAAGACTACGAGGACGCGAACACTGCCTACTTCTGGAAGCGCTTCAGCTTCTGGAACTACGCGCGGCCGCCCACCGTCATCCTGGAGGTGGGCCTAGCTCAGGGTCCCGGCGGACCCCGGGGAAAGAAACCTGACCGACTCCTGGAGGCGGGACCCGGCGGGCCGGGGGCGTGGCGATGGGCGGGACCTGGCGGGGCGGGGGCCCGGGCTGAAGGCGGGGCCGAGTTGAGGTCCTCGGCGAGTGGCCCCTCTCTCTGTCTGCCGGCTCTGCGCACCTGCCCGCCCACCTGCAGCCAGACGTGTTCCCTGGGAATTGCTGGGCTTTCGAGGGCGACCAGGGCCAGGTGGTGATCCGGCTGCCAGGTCGTGTGCAGCTGAGCGACATCACCCTGCAGCATCCACCGCCCAGCGTGGCGCACACTGGGGGAGCCAACAGCGCCCCCCGAGACTTCGCAGTCTTTGTGAGTGGGGCTAGGGCCAGGACGGTGCGGAAGGGTGGGCGCCTTACTTAGAGAGCGACAGGTGATTGTGACAATTGGTGCCCGTGTCCGAGCCTTCGCCTATGAAATGGAGATACTCCTTGTGTCTCCGGGCAGCTGAGGGTTATAAACGATCGTAACCGTATACAAATATTAGTTATGACTGACCGAGGGTTTCCTCTGTGCCAGCCACTGCAGCCAGCAGCATTCTGCAACCACATACTGTCCTATCGAGTAATTCTAATAGTCTTCACAGAAGAGCAAAGTAATGCTCATAAAGGGACATTATATGCGTAAGGTCTCATAGCTTGGCCAGACCAAAATTTAGAACCTGGTTCCTTAGCGCCCACACCTCTTACCGTCAAAGCACAGGAGGGCACACACACGACCCTCCACCTGTGCCTCACTGGCCCCGCTCATCCTCCACCCACCAGGGCCTTCAGGTCGACGATGAGACTGAAGTTTTCTTGGGGAAATTCACCTTTGATGTGAAGAAATCTGAGATTCAGACGTTCCACCTGCAGGTGTGCTTGTCTGGGGGTGGGGGCGGGGGCGGGGGCGGGGCACGTGAGCTGCTAAGGGAGCGGGCAGTGGTGGATGATGGGGAGGAGGGGTGCCCTTGAGAACAGGTCTTACCCGTTTGTCTCCCCAGAATGAACCCCCCGCCGCCTTTCCCAAGGTGAAGATCCAGATTCTGAGCAACTGGGGCCACCCACGGTTCACCTGCTTGTACCGAGTCCGTGCCCACGGTGTGCGAACCTCGGAGGGGGCAGGGGACAGTGCCACAGGGGTCACCGGGGGGCCCCATTAAAACATGCTGACAGAATTGAGCTCTGTGCTGGAGGAAGCTGGATCGGTGCCCAGAGCTGTCTCTGGCTTAAATTTAACTCTATCACCCCACAGCAAAACTGCTCAGGGCTAGAAACGTGCTCACAGACACACAGCTGGTGAAGAGCAGCACTGGAGTGGGACCCAGGTCTGCCCTCTGCAGAGCTGCCAGGCAGCTGGAAGTCACACCTGCACTCCTAAATTCTTACTTCCAATGTCTGGGAAAGTCTCCAACACCTGCTAGGTGCAGGTGAAGGGGAAGTTGGCCTACTTTTCAGGCAAAGGGCACATGAGCCTTCCTAGGAAGCCTGAGTTAGGGCTGAGGCAGGCCTGGGGGCCCCACTCAGGTTGTCTTTATGAGCCTCCAGTGCTTGAATCTGTGCTAGGCTTGGTGTAGGTGACCCAGTGCTCACCAGTCCCTGCCCTCAAGGAGCCTGACAGGGGAAGGAAGATGTTCAAGGACAAAGGACAGACCCAAGAACTCTTCAGGACAAGGGTCAAAAGTAGAATTGGAAGAAATATGGAGACAGGCAAATCAAAAGGATTAGAGGGTTTTACCTAAGGGAAGAAAAGGGGGACCAGCATAAGCAAACCACCACACATAATGGTTTCCCAGTGTGTTCATGTGTTGGAAAAACAGACAATTAAGTGGTCACACATCTAGGAAGTGAAACGGAGTGTCTAGTACACATGTGAGGGTACAGCATTTATCCATCCATTTAAATTTGATGGTTATTATTTTTGTAATTTAAAAACAAAGGGAAAAATCCTACCAAATGCTCTCAAAGCCTAAGTTACAGAAATGAATACTGCTTTTCTGGAGGGCACTTTTAAAATAGGAACCAAAAAGCCTTTAAACGTTTTATACCTTTGAAAACATTTTGAGAGGACACAGAAGTAGAACCAAATCCCATCTGCTATCCCCTCAGTTCCCTGGAAGGGGCAGGGGACCAAAGCCAGGAGACCAAATCTCAGCCCAGGTCTCCCATGTGGATGGCAAACTCAGTTACTTGAGCCATCACCACTTCCTCCCAAGGTCTGGATTAGGCAGCTAGAATGAGGATTGAATCCAGGTACTTCAAGGCGGGATGTGGGTATCCTAATTGGTGTTTTAATTGCCAGACTAAAATTCCTGCCTTTTTATACTGCTAAATTACAGCAATTTCTTTTCTAAGACTATCCAAATAGCGTTTTCTAAGACTGTAACATAGATGTCCCCAAAGGTAACACTCACAATGCTAATTTATGACATGAATGTTAGCATGCAGTTCTATATCAAAGGAACACAAACTGGAGCCACATGGGATGTTGGTGCCACAGGCAGCAGGTTTACCTGCTGTGCCACAATGCCAGCCCCTTAAGTAATTTTTAAAAAATATTTATTTATTTATTTGAAAGGCAGAGTTACAGAGAGGCAGAGAGAGAGAGAGGTCTTCCATCCACTGGTTCACTCCCCAAACGTCCAGAACTGGGCCGATCCAAAGCCAGGAGCTTCTTCCGGGTCTCCTATATGGGTGCAGGCGCCCACATAGAGCTGGATAGGAAGTGGAACAGCTGGGACTTGAACTGGCACCCACATGGGATTCTGGCACTGCAGGCAGAATCCGCTATGCCACAGCACTAGCGACAGTAAATTTTTTCATCTAGTATTTCTACTTCTAGGAACAAATCCTTTAGAAATACACATATTTAAGTACACAAACTTAAACATACAAGTATATCCATTACAGCACTGTAACAACAAAACTAGAAGGGACTCAAGTCTCCATGAGTAAGGGACTAGCTAGATAAAGTATGGTACACTCAAACAAGGGAATTTATGATCATTAAAAAGAACAAGCTGAGGCAGTACATTCTGATGGATAAGACGCTCAGAATACAGCAAATATATGGGGGCCAGCGCTGTGGTGTAGCAGGTAAAGCTGCCACCTGCAGTGCCGACATCCTACAGGGGCGCCAGTTCTAGTCCCAGCTGCTCCACTTCTGATCCAGCTCTCTGCCATGGCCTAGGGAAGCAGTGGAAGATGGCCCAAGTGCCTGGGCCCCTGTACCTGGCCTCGTTGGCAAACTGGGGAGTAAACCAGTGGATGGAAGACCTCTCTCTCTCTTTCTCTGCCTCTCCTTTTCTGTGTAACTCTTTCAAGTAAATAAATAAATTAAAAAAAAATACAGCAAATATAAAATAATATCTTTTAGAAAAAAATTTTGTCAGACATAGGAAAATCAGGGGCCCTTACCTGTTCTATTTTCTAATTTGCAGGATTACTTAAAATTTTGTACTATCATTTTAAAATTAGAAAAACAATTTTAAAGTATGCTAAAATACAGACTATAAATATGTGCTAAATTATGTTTTTCTGGGACATGTGATTTTGCATGAATCTTTTTTTTCCATATGTTAATATTTTTATACAGTGAATATACACATTCTGTAGTAAAAGAAAAAAAAATAGCTATTACTGTAGGATCGGAACCACCATGCTGTCTACTGCAAGAGAGCTAACACAGCCCTTGCTATACCTTAGAACTCATCCCTAGTATTGTGCAGCCCCTTATCAGGCCTAGCACTTTCCAACCTGTTTGTGTTCCCCACTCACCTCCACCCTGTGAGAGGGAAAGCTGGGTGTCTGCCTGACACTCAAACTGTACTTTCAAAAGTAGTGAGCCTTGTCTCTAGAATGAATAGATACTGGCCAGGAATACCCAATCACTTTGAGTGGTGGTGCTGTTATACCCGTCAACATGGCCAACAAAGCCTCCCAGCCCAAACACACACAGACTGGGGGCAAAGCCGTGGTCTCCAATGGTCTTTATTAGACAAGGGGTACTGGGGCAAGGAGGCAGCAAAGAGCAGCAGCGGCATAGCAAGTATAAAAGTATCAAATATAAAGTGCAAGAGCGCACTAGCGCAGCAAGTACAAAAGTGTCAAATACAAAGTGTGCGGGACTGTGTTCAGGGACACAGAGCTGATGACTGGTCACATCTGCCCTCCAAGGAAACCTAAGCCTGGGGGGGCTGTGCAGGGCTCTTTGCTGGGGGTGGAAGTGGCTTGAATGGGGGCCAACCCTGGGCCTTGAAGTAGGAGACGAGTTGTGTGGGCACTTCCGCAAGCACAGTCTGCGCCAGCGCCTCCCGCGGGGCCTGCCAGGAAAAGAAGGGCAAGGTCAGAAGCCCCACAACAGAGAGGGTACAAAGCCCAGCACCCGACCCTGCAAGTCCCCACCGCGCCTCAACCCCTCTGCCCTCAGGTCGCGCCAGCTAAACTCCCAGATCCACCCGCCCCCACTCACATTCTGGAATCGGCGGTAGGGCACAAACTGCACTATGTCACGGGCAGCTGCCTCTCCAAAGTGCGTCCGCAGGGGCCCACCGTCCGCGTCCAGCTGCTCCATGGCCTCGAAGTCAGCATTGCCCACGCCCACAATGATCACTGACATGGGCAGGTTGGAGGCACGCACCACAGCCTCACGTGTGGCTTCCACATCTGTTACAGCACCATCGGTCAGCAGCAACAGCACGAAGTATTGCTGGGGGCAAGGCCATTCATGTACTGAGGCAGAACCTCCCTCCCACACCCCAGCTGCACGTTTCCATTAACAGACGTTCCCAGGGGAGCCCCTGACCACCCCATTGCTACTGTTGTAGATGACCCTCACCGAGGCGGTCCCCTGATGTGCAGCCTGGGCTGCAAACCTGGCCACGTGGTTGATGATAGGTGCAAAGTTGGTGGGGCCATAAAGACGAACTTGGGGCAGAGCTTGGCGGTAGGCATCCACAATGCCCTGGATGCCTGCAAAGAAGGGCAAAAGACATGGTAAAACCCCAGACCTCTCAAGACCAGGCCAATCTTGAAATCATCCCGTCATTGCCCAAATCACTTGGGAATCTAGATGCATTTCATTCGATGGTGTTTAACCCTATATAAGAGTAAAGCTTTTAAAAGAATTTGCCCTAAATAATAGTCTGAATTAAAACCTGTATTAAGGGGCTGGCACTGTGGCATAGCGGGTAAAGCCACTGCCTGCTGTGCCGGCATTCCATATGGGCGCTGGTTTAAGTCCCGGCTGCTCCACTTTCAATCCAGCTCTCTGCTATGGCCTGGGAGAGCAGTAGAGTATGGCCTGAGTGCTTGGGCCCCTGCACCCGTTGGGGAGACCTGGAAGAAGCTACTGGCTCCTGGCTTCAGTTCGGCACAGCTCTAGCTGTTGCAGCCATCTGGGGAGTGAACCAACAGATGGAAGACCTCTCTCTCTCTCTCCTTTCTCTGTGTAACTCTTTCAAATAAATAAATCAGAAGAAAAAAAAAGACCTCAGACTATGAAGCTGTTGGACGAAAATGTAGAGGAAACACTCCAAGACCTTGGTGTAGGGGATGAATTCTTGGACAAGACCACCAAAACAGAGGCAACAAAAGCAAAACTAAACAAATGGGACTGTATCAAACTCAGAAGCTTTTGAACAGCAAAGGAAATGATCAACATAGTGAAGAGACATCCTACAGAATGGGAAAAATATTTGCAAATCACCTATCTGAAAAGGATTAATATCCCAAATACATCAGCAACTTTAAAAACACAACAAAAATAAGAACAAATGCAATTGAAAAATAGGCAAAGGACTTCAATTGACAGTTCTGAAAAGAAAGACAAATAGCTAACAAATATATGATTAAAAAAAAACAAAACCCTTTATTAAGGGGCTGGTGTTGTGGCATAACAAATAAGCCTCTGCCTATGACACCAGCATCCAATATGGGCACCCATTCAAGACCCAGCTGCTCCACTTCTACTCCAGCTCCCTAATGAGCCTGTGAAAGTAGCAAAAGGTGGCCCATATGCTTGGGTCCCTGCATCTATGTGGGAGATCTGGAAGACGCTCCTTGCTTCAGCCTGGCCCAGCCCTGGCCACTGTGGCCATTTGGGGAGTGAACCCCTAGATGGAAAATATCTCTCTCTCCCTCCCCACCTCTCTTTCTTTCCTCC